TTTCCATGGTGAACTTGATTTTGGGGTGTGTGCTGTTTAGGTGTGTTAGGAAATTGTTTAGGTTTTCTTTTCCATGGGGCCAAATCACAAATGTGTCATCGATGTATCTTAACCATAGTTTGGGTTTGTGGGTGGCATTAGCTAGGGCTCTGAATTCAAATTCTTCCATGAACAGGTTTGCAATGATAGGTGACAGTGGTGATCCCATAGGGGCTCCTTCAATTTGCTTGTATCTTTGTCCTTTGTATATGAAATATGTGTTGGTTAAGCAGTGTTCTGCTCGTTCCATGAGGTGTTTAGCTAGTTGGTATTTATTTTTGATGATTTCAAGAGTTTCTTTTATCGGGACTTGAGTGAATAGTGAAACCATGTCGAAACTTACAAGCAGATGATTCCACCAGACTGTCGATTATTTGGAAGCCTGCATTCACAAACAAAAAAATCTCCACACTACAAGCCAGGCAAACACCTGGGCACAAACAGATCCCCCCTGATACCTCCAGCTCAAACACACCCCAACCAGGCACCCAGATGAAACCTAGCTTCCTAATAAATGATAGCCATCCATTTCCTCGGAGCCAAGCTGCGCTAAAAGCCTCCAGTACAGGAACACAATGTTGCCAGCCAATCAAGACAAAAAAAGCCACAAAACAGACAGAAGATATTAGAAACACCAATCAAGTAGAACACACCAACTCCAAGACCAATAAACACAGACCAAGACTCTCAACCAATCAGGATGAAGAAAAAACTATTCTGGCACAGCAGTAGGCTAGCCCCAAATTTAAAACTGAAACGGCTGTGAAAGTCTGACTCACAGACGAACACAATACAGAAGCCTGATGATGGCAGATGAGATTTTGCCAAAACGTTGCTACAACTTTAAAAACACAACTATAATGACGTGGGAAAATACCCGAACAAAGCTGAATACCATACATGTAAGTACCCGTGAAAACTTAAGAAAACATACATACATACATACATACATACATACATATATATATATATATATATATATATATATATATATATATATATATAAACAGGTGACGTGGGGTGGAGAAGAAGAATCTGGTAATAGTTTGATTGCTCAGGAGACCTGGAAATAATTTACAGGTTCTTCCTCCTTTATGTGAAGATTTACCAACTGGTAGAAAAGCTAGAGTTCTAACTGGGAGGTGGCACTCTACTTTCATATGGCTTGAATTTATGGACGAACAAGCTGGAGCTGCAATAGAATATGGCTTTCTAGAATAATGTAATGATTGTTCACCCCCCTCCCCCCAAGAGTCACTGGCTTGAGATGGGTGCTATGCTTATTGGTTGATTGAAAAAAATAATAAATAAATACATTCCTGACTGCAGTCAACCAGCTAAGACTTCTTTCAAGATGAGCCATTCCATTCTTCCTTTCTTCTGCCAGTCATCCATTACTCCTATCCACTGAGTGTATTCAGTCCCCATGAAGATATGTGGGAATGGAGGTCCAGGATTTTTCTGTTGCTATTGGACACGGAGGGCTTCCACAAATGTCAGAATTCTCTCCACCTTTTTCAAATGTCTCTTCTGGTCATGGGTGGTGTTACTTTGGCTGCATATGTATCTACGCTCCTCAGTAATTATCAGAACTGTAGATGATTTTTTCTTACATTGCCTGTCTTAAAATAGAAGAGCACTTTTCTTTTCTTGAGAAAGGAATCCATAAAAATAAGATTGACATGAACATGCATATTTTGATCAGAAGAACCTTTAGTACCAGCCTATGTCTTGAAGGTATGCACTCTAAGCTCTTTAGCTGTTTTTGTATTTTTGTTCCAAATTTCATGGGCTGTAAACTCTTTGTGTTTCCTGGATCTGGGGCATGCTGTCATTGCCATGAACATTTCTTCCAAGAGTCCTAGTCGCTGATCATCTAATTTGTTGTAATACAGGCAAGCAGATTTTTTTATAGTCCGGAGCCAGTATAAGTATCCTGTGACTCTCCTACGCTTCAATAATGTGGAGCATGACAAGGTGATACCCAAATTCTCTGAGAAGATATGCATATTGATTACAGTCACAGTGGAAATCATGTGATGATAGCAACAGGGAATGAGGTATGGTCAGGAAACAAAGACAAAAGTCAACCTTCCCCCTGAAAGAGAGTTACAGTGTCTTCCCGCCAAAATAACTTTTCTGAGAAAGCAGCTTACTTTCTTTGTTTCAATAAGAGGAGGGACATATTCTGGTGTCATGCCCATGGCAACTGTGACCTACGTTCCAATCCCATCACCTGACCTGAGGCCAATGTCTCCCAGTGTGTTTGGCTGCAATGCATATTGCTTTTAACTTGTTTGGGCTAATGGTGGTTGTTGTCCAACATATTTGTGGGTGAGTGATCAGGGAAGGGTGAAGTGGACAGTATCTACTTACAGCTGTGTATGTGTGTGTTGTTTTCTGCATGACACAAAGCAGTGTCTATTCATCTGTCCATGTTCTGGATAGTCTTCCATGCATTTAAGCTTGGCTGGAGAAAAGAAACATTGAGATAGTTTGTCACTGAATCTTGGCATTTAGGCCAAAGACTTTTTCCAGGCAAAGCCATTGTTTAAAGATTCATAGTGTTGCTTGTTTTGTGAAGACATGATGTTTCTTTGGCTATGGTGGGGACTATGTTTGTAGTGATCTTTGTTTGGTGTTTGCGTCATCCCTGCATTCCACTTCGTTTTGTTGTCCTTGTCAATACAGACCACTTGTGTCCTGAAACAGTTCTGGCTAAAACTATGCTTTGCTTTCTCTTTGCAGGAATCCTTTTGCCAACGTCCAGCTCAAACCAACGGTGACAAATGATCGTTCAGCTCCTCTCATCAGCTGATCCAGAAATGTTGGGTTACGGCGGGTACCTTGCACCTTTTGATTTCCCTTTCACCTGTGTTGTATTTCTGTGAGGTCCTTGTACAGTTTACGTGTCTTTCCCTCCAACTCTGTTTTGGTAGTTAAATAAGCATTTAAGTGGCAATGCTGGTGTGCTTTTCCTTTTGCTCATTAGAAATAGAAGAGAAACTTGACCCTTAAAGAGCGATGGGTTTTGAAAGGGATGCTACGCTGCTATATTGAGGGGAGACCTAGATAGACCAGAAAGCAGGCCCTGCCTTCTTTGCCTTTTGCAGCTATATGCCACGTTCATAAACGTTTTAAGAATAGCCATGGAGATAGAAGGACCTGGCAGTTTTGCAGTGGTCTTGTGTTTGTCAGTTAACATTTCTCCTGGAAATCTTTTTTCGCCTTTTATCAAAACCTATGGATTTGAACAGGACTTCAGAGCTGTCAAGAGAAGCTTTGGGGCTGCCTAAGATGAAACGCACGACCTGGGTCCTGCTCACTCAACCCTTGGAACTGACACGGACTTGAATCTTCCAAAGCGCTTCTTGGTAGCTCCCTCCTTACCTTGCATTGGACTTTTGCTGGATAAAAGTAAAAGTTTTACTGAATCGATGTTTAGAAGAGCTGGGCTCCTCAAAGCAATTGTCTCGATTTGACACTTCGTTATTAATGGTCCTTTCTCTCCTAATGGCCCTACATCTATTCAGCTTGTCTGTGATGATCCTTTAGCGGTAAGGCCCACTGATGGCCAAATTATTGTGGGTACCTTTTCCAGCATTTTAAGGTGGTTGGGGAATGTTATGCAGGAAAGAAATATTTTCAACTAGCACCATCTGTTGCTCGAGCATTTGTTTCATTTCTCTGTAGCTTTAAATAGACCAAGGAGGGACCATTAAAAATCTGGTTTAGTCCTACAGTGCCCAAACTACCCTTGCTCTGTCTTCTTACTGACACATCTTGACTGGTACAGGTGTGTCTTCTGCTGCCAAAACAAGTTAGTTTAAGACAGCTTGACCTCAGCCTTGGTATTGGGTCAACGCTGTTTGAAAGGTCCTTTGTTCTGTTACTAAGCTTTTTTTTTTTTAATTTTTCTTTTTAAGTTGCACTTGCCTTCTCAAGTAGATATTCAGTCACAAATAAGCTTTTTTCTTATGTTCTGTCCTATTGGCTCTCAAAATCTGGTAAGATGTAACAAAGACCATTCAGCTCGCTCCTTGTATTTATGTACCCCAAGATTAGTGAGTAGTTCTAGGAAACAGTAGTTATCAAAATGGAACTGGGCTTACCCACTATTTGGAGTGCTCTTACTGTTTGAATTCCAGTTATAGCGCCAGAGTCTGGTGATAATGGAAACCCAATTCCTAAATTACATTTGACTTCAAATATGGAGCGATAGAGGCAAATTAGCAGTCAATTTTTAAGAGCTGTGTGTCTGTTTCTATGCCATTTAACCATTCTTTCTTTTAAATTCTTATTGAAATCCTAATGAATTATGATAGATCCAAACTTCTACCTTATTCCACATAATAGTAGCCCCCAGCTGACTGTACAAAATGTATATCGAGCTGCTGCTTTTTCTTCCCAGAAAGGAATGATGATAATAATGATATTTTTTCCTCTAAAAGTGGCAAAGCTTTTGGTGTGAACTTTGGCCAAATATTAAATAGCCTCCCTCATCTGATCCTTTGTGCAACCGGAAGTCATTTGCAGCTGCTTTGCTTTTTCCAGTGACTCTTAAAAAGCAGTCACAGCTGCCTTAAATATAAATTTACCAATTTTATCATTAAAATCATTCAAGTTCAAATGTGATCATAGTTTCTGTGGTCTCTGTTCTCAATTTCTGAAAAACATCAAGACTAGTTTCCGTGATACACTTAGCCCAGAATTGTATTGTCTGGCTTAATGTGTTGATTGAACTTAATCATTGTGGTTTATTCAGTAAAATCAAAGTTAAACTGTGGCTTAGCATGCCATGTAGATCCTGTTTAAGTCTCCCATGCAAACGTGGAGACTGTTAGTGAGCATTTCCATCATGACTTGTATGTTTCCCTGTGGCTTATGATGCACAAATATAAATATCTTTAAATCTATATTTTTATATAAAGCAATTTAGCTAAAAACCAGTTACAGAAAATCTCTTAACTCTGATAAGGCCACAATAAGTTCAGATAAGGCCACAATCCTAAGGAAAATTATGTAAAAGATGAAACTCACTGGCCTTGTTTTTTTATCACATGTGCTACAATTGCTTTTTTTATTATTGCATCTTTCCTCTATTACAGTGCTTTCTTGAAAACCATTTTTCCAGTTGTTGAATCATTTATTTTATGGTCTTTGTCCACATAAGTATAATGAAGATTCCCAGCCACACTGTACTGTTTTGAAAAATTGCTGTGTTTGTGTGTGTGTTGCGTATGCATTTTTTAAAAAGTCAAACTTTGCCAAATTATTATTGTTAAGGAGGAAGATTGATTTTTAGTTCCTTTCTTTGCTCCTCCCTCAGACCAATTCTTTTCTTACATATTTTCAGCAGTGCACCCTTTGCTGTGGAATTATTTAGTTCTCGCCATCTCAAGGCTGGCAAGTTGAAATCCACACATCTTAAAAGTTATTAAGGCTGAGAAACTTTGATTTAGATGATTCAAGGCAAATAGGAACTGTAGCTTGCCAAATGGAGCTGAGGAGTGGCAGGGCTGTCAGCTCCTAGACTGAATGAGAGACAAAAGATACAAAGATTCCCAACCAAACATTGGCTCTTGCAAGATGGGCTATCCAGTAGAATCAGAAAGTAGAACGGGCTAGCTGAGGCTCAGATTACCTCAGGGTTTTTTTTTAGGTGCCCAGTGCCGTATGAAAATGGGAAGGTTTGTGGGAACATCTTATGTAGGAGATGCCAGAAAACGGAGCCTAATATTGCTTTTTTTCTTTCAGTCAAAAGTAGGATAAAACTTGCAATAGCAAATGAGGGAGAGGGTTTTTCAAGGGAAGATTGACCATAGTCACTTTTAAAATGCATTGGTTTTTGATATCCTTTCCCCACCCTAATTGAACTGTTTAAATAATTTCTCCTAAACAGGCCCAGGAACATGAAATAAATGACTGATTGACTAAATGGGAAATGGTTACTGTACTATATGTTGGCACAGCAATTACATAGCTGAGGATGAATCTGAGCAATTCAACTGAATTGTGGCTGAGAGTTTTGGAAACTGTAATCCCAGCCCATGAGTAGATTGGGAAAGCTGGTTTAGGTAGTGTTACTTGATCAGCTTATGCTCTTCAAGAGTGTCTTTTGTTAGGATTTGAAGATTAAGAGGTTTCTCCTAGGCAGTGATGGTTTTATGGTGTTTGTTCTGCCGATACTTCATTTCTTGGTTAACTAACTTACTCCCAGATGAACAATGTTATATGACCCTCTTGCCTTCATGTTGATTGTGTGAAATTAAGGTTAGAAACAATCCATGCCTAACTCTTAATTTCTAATGCAATGTGATAAGGATATGGTGTACACCTTCCAGTTAAAATCGGAATTGGAGCTGGGTGGCTTATCAAATAAAGAAATAAAAAAAATTAAGTGGAGCAAGTTGGTATATGTGATGGATCTCGGGAATAAGCAACATAATTATAGACACATGATGTTCCATGATGTGGGAATTTATCCTGTGACTTTTCAGTATTTTTGCTACAAGAAAAGCAGCAGCAGACTAGCCAAAGTCTTGTGGTATCAGAGTACCTAGTCTGAGCCTGATTGGAAACCACGGTGACTAGCCATTGGGAGGCTGGCTCTTAGTAACAATGAAAGAATTACACACAATTAGGAATATTACCTTCTGAATGTTACCTTCTCCCTTTGTTGCCCTGCTAAATGTTTAGCATGCATGCTAATGATAACCACAATAGTGGTGGGATATTCTAAGAACTGATGCTGAGGACCCTAGTATTAAAAGTGCAAGGGCTCTTGGAACAGTTGCCAAGAGAGGCAACATATCGGCCCAGGAATAGTTGTGATCACCTTTTCAAAGCCAAATCACCACATAGCTCTAATAGCTTATTCCTTTTGTGGATAGGGGTGCTTACTGTGCTGTGGCCTCCTGCGGTGAAATTAGCCTTCCAAAATATGAAACACTGAACCTCTGATCAGTTAGTTACCTATACACTGGCATTGAGATCAGAAAATGATTGAACATTTTAACAAGAGTTGGCTCTCAACATCAAAAGAAATTATGGTAAGAAACTAGATAAATGAAGGTTTTTTTTTCTGGTATGATGCATCAAGGGGAGTATTAAAAGAGCTTCCATAACAAGCTTCAAATAATACTAGAGCCCAAGTCTCAGTGCCCGATTTACACAGCTGTAGGAAGGAATAATAATTTATTATTTCTTGGTTGGAAGTGATAAAAGTTTCAAATAATAAATGCTGCCCCCATCTTTAAAAAAAATCCCTGTATAATTCCCATCCAGTGGCTGTAATCCATGCTTTATTCCTACCCAGTTTAAGAAATAGAGCTAGTCTTGGATTACCAAATTCAACCAGTTTTGGTCCTAGCTTTTAAACCTACTAAATATTTCTTGAGGACATGCCTCTGAATTCTTGAAAGTATCTAGTTTTTCCCAACTCGACATTCTCACCTCTTAGGACATTGGCATCAACTGGAGAAGGAAAGTAACTTGTTTCTAATTCCGTCATTCTTGTACACAAAAGGAATAAGCTATTAGAGCTATGTGGCAATTTGGCTTTGAAAAAGTGATCACAACTATTCCTGGGCCAGTGTGTTGCCCCTCTTGGCAGCTGTTTCAAGAAGTTTTCACAGCGGTATATTGACCCCTGCTTTGCAGTACAAGCATAGCGATGCAGGTGCCAATTTTCCTGTATTTTTCTATTTTTTTCTGTCTGGCAGTTACCTGACGCCTTAGTCAAGAAAGGGTCAGTCATTTTATCTGCAAACCACTACTGCACTGCATGGTTTGATGTATTCAGTGTCTCTCAAGACTTCTGGCTGAATCTGTACCATCCATAATTTTCATTATTTCCTGCTGTCTTCAAAACACACAGATGGAGGAGAACAAGCAAAAGTTAGGTTATTTTAAAAATGTTTTATTTTTAATAGTTATTGGACCAATGATATTTGACACACATGCTGGGAGCTGTATGGAACTCAGCACTGATAAAAAATACAGCAATTATGACCCGTATCAATAAAATACACTGTAAATAGCCCACCCCTCTCTATTTCTCTCTGTTTCAAAGAAGATCATTAACCCAAAACATAACTCTAGTTCTGACCACATGCAGTCTCTCAGGGGCTGACAGCTGTCTGTTACTATAGACCATATACCTATAGGGGCAGCGTTGTCAAAGGTAACTAGATAAGGAAATGAAGGAAATGAAACTTAGAGAGCAAATTGGGCTGTAACTACTTCCTGTACCTGTTCTTTTGTCATGGTACTGGTTGTTTTTGCCTTAGAAAATGGAATATGGCAGTGGCAAGCTAGAATCACACCGTGTAGCTGACAGATTTGCATTTCATTTGATGTGGAAGAATGAGTATACACACACACAACATACACACACACACACACAAAACACACAAAACCCCTCCAGGTGCATGGGTGCAGCACTCAACTTTCCAAAGCCAGCACCATCATTCCTGCATGTACCAATGTGGACCAATGCCGCCTGATAGTTGCTGAAAATCCAGGCAGGTGCAGGACATCACACAGAATATTTTGGGAGGATGTGAAACCCAATGAGATTAAGAGGTGCTAAGAATCTGGAAATACTCAACAGTAACCTGCCTTTTCTTAGTAAAATTCTCCTTTTGCTTTGCCTGAAATGTCTACAAGAAGGAACAGATCTACCCATTGCTTCTCAAATTCTTCTCAATTCTCATTCCCAAATATCTCCCCATGGTAAAATAAGGAATAACAGTGCTCCTGCCATTAAATTTGTTATTTCCCCAAGAGGCTTCTCTTCATAAATAAAAAAGAATCTTGGAGGATAGTTTCTTTTAATTTTTTCCAATGAATGTTGGATTTGGATTAAACCTGCCCAAGAGGCAAAACGACCATACAGCTCTGCAGCCAACATTATTTGATTTTATAATCACTTTTCCAAACTTCTGCTTTATGGTTAATAATGCAATAATGGCAGCATCCTTCAAGGAGGTGTTTTTTTTAAGAACCTTGCCTGCTTGGTCTCTATGCACTTACACACACACCTGTTTAGAAGAGTCTCTTGTAGTAAAAGTCTAATTTGTGGCAAGTTAAGATATGTTGCAAAAAGGGAGGGAGGATTGTCTCTTTGGGCTTTGAAGATTTAAGATCTACTAAGCCACATTTGCTTATTACTCTTTTCTTAAATGCATCTTATGCTCTAGTCTCTTGTTCACCACAGTAGCAGAATACAGAATAGAAAATAAGAGCTGGAAGGGACCCTGGAGATCTTCTAGTCCAACCCCCTACTACTCAAGCAAGAAACCCTATGCCATTCCAGACAAATGGCTGCCCAGTCTCTTCTTAAAAACCTTCTGTTATGGAGCACCCAGAACTTCTGGAAGTAAGCCATTCCACTGGTTAATTGTTCTCAGACCACAGGGTGTTTTGCACTCTTTGAAATAAATCTAAGTCCCGTACTTGTGTGAATCCTGCAACTTGCATACCTATACTTTGCAAAATTCACTTTCTATATATTATAGAAAAAATAAGATTGGCATATGGGCTTCATATTTTTTTCCAAGCCCCACCACACATGTATGGACCACTGCCTGACCATAGTTTTTTAGTCAAGAAAGATCCATATTGTCCAAATCACAGCCCCCTGCCATACATTCTCCCTCTCTTGAGTTCAGAAATGGATGTTAAAACTCTAGGTCAGATTTCTCCTCCTGCCTCTCTTGGTCTTTGGCGTTGGCTCTTTCAGATACTAGAACACTTCAAAAACAGAATCCCAGTCCTCCTTCCTCTTCATCACACTCATGAATTGGGAGGAGATTCCCTTGTTATCCACGTTATTCTGAAGCTGAGGTGCACAGCTTTTTTTCAGAAGCTCCAGGCATCGTGTGGCATGCTGAGAGCTATTTTCTAAAAGTGAGTGGGACTAGGAACCAAAGGGGGTCCAGGTTGGGAGGTTGGATCCATTTCAGTGGTGGTATGCTACCGGTTCTCACCGGTTCACCTGAACCAGTAGTAAAAAAAAAAAAAAAGCCTCTGAGGATTAGCTGAGAGGAAGGGGAAAAAAGCCTCAGGTGATTAGGGCGAGAAAGCAGAGAAAAGGGCAGGATCGGCCTTCCTACCTGCCCCTGCACTTTTCTCTTCTTTATCCTCTCATCTGATTGGCACTGTAGGTCTCAGCTGGTGTGTGGAAAGCTGCGGGCATGCGATCAACAAACCAGTGGTGGAACAGGTAGGACCCCACTGCTGATCCATTTGTTCTGATGGAGCTTAGAAGGCTCCCAAGCAAGTGATGGGTGGGGTTGGTCTGAAGCTTGCAGGATGCACTTTTTCATATTTATTTTAAAGAGAGTGGGTGTGTGTATTTACCTAGCAAATACTATAGCATGACCAGATCATTCTGGGCCATTCCAGTAGAGATAATGGATATTTGGTCATGAGCATCCTAACCCACTTACCCTCCCAAGCTATCTTGGCTGTTATGTAGTACAGCCTTGTTTGCCATCCACAAATTATTCCAGTTCAGCATTAATTAATGGTGCTGCAGAGGGGAAAAACCAAGGCTAAGAAATAATAGGCCGAGTATGCCAAAAGGGGAAACAACAAATCGCAGAACAATGAGGATTAATGAGTCTTTTGCATTCCTCAGAGTATCAGGGAAGCCTAAACTATACATGCCCCGTAAATATCTGCTTGATTTGAATATAATACAAACTGATTGTAAAGGTGTGTTAATTGGCATGTTCAGAACATGCCCATTATTTCAAGGCAGAAATAGCCACTGGAAATCTTAACAAAGGTGCTACTGCTCTGTCTTCAGTTTTATCAGGTATTGCAGAAGTATATTTAGGCTTATCCTTGCACCTACAAGATAGCTTTTGACATCCAAATGCAGTTGGAATGACAGTATCTGTTAAGACCTAGGATTCCCTCACCTCTGGGAGTGGGGGCAGAGGCATTTTTCACCAGTTACATCAGCCCAGACGGATATCAGTTACATTCCCCAAACACGGAATAGAGTTCTCCATTTGGCAATAACATTCTACTGGTTTGCCAGGTGTGTAAGATGAACTGATGGGAAGTATGCAGAATTATGAGAACAATGTTCCCAAATGCACAGAGTACCCTCAGACTGGAGGCTTCAGGTACTAATCAATTGTTGCTACACACAAAAATACCTTAGGTAAGACCTTTTTTTTAGATGCTCAGCTCAATGGATGGAAAGCTACATGTTGTAGTGCAGTGTTTCTCAACCTTAGCTCCTTTAAAATGTGTGGACTTCAACTCCCCCAAATCCCCAACCAGCAACACTAGCTGGGGATTCTGGGAGTCAAAGTTCACACATTTTACAATTGTGCTAAGGTTGGGAAACACTACTGTGTAAATAAAGGGCTAGGCCTACATCACATGTTTTTCTTTGACCATAGACACAATCTGAAGGAGAGTTTTATCTGGATTTGAATTCAGGTAGAGCTCTCAACTTGATCCATTTCAAACAGAAGATCAGCTTAAAAAAACAACAACTAGTTTGCAATTTCTGATGCAGTCAGTAAAATGCCTGAAGGGAGAAAAAGTAAACCACCCTTTGACTGGTATCCTACTTAATCAGCCTATGCACATTCTACAATATTTCACATACACAAGGAAGGACATAGACATAAAGCTATATGGATAGGAGAACAAAAATGCAGCCTCCCCCTTTAGTCTTTTTAAAAGTTGGGAGTAAAGTGCTTTTTATTTCAAGTTATTGCTAAAATGTTTATTCATTTTCAGGGAAAGTGCATTTTAGTGCAATTTTTCATGTATCCATCTATAAGAGTGAATAGCATGGTGCCTAACAGATTAGTGCAGCAGACAGCACATGTCAAAGCCATTAAAAAGTTGAAGTTCACTTACACTTGTGATGTTTATAAAATTCAAACAGCAATGGAAGAAACAGGAAAAAAGAGCCGAGGTGAGTGGGCTGTGACAGCATCATAGAGATGCTCTGTATAAAATGAGCAAGCAAAGATTCCTCCCATGGGTGGGTCCAGCCTTTATGCCCCTGCCTATTAAGTCCTCAACTCTTCTTATTCCAGGTTCTAAAAACAGATCTGAGAATGTAAAGAAAGGAAGGAATCAATTATAACAATATCTCCCTTTTTTACTTTGGGAGCTTGGGAAAGGGACTTCCAATGGGATGAATCCCATTGGAAAATGCAGCTGGCTGCATTTTTAACAAGTTGCAGTTCTATAGAGGGCAATATAAAAGCTGCTCAGATAAGGATGGTAATAGCAGTCTTAGATGCAGTTTGGGATTTATTACAAGCCTGGTATTCCAAAACACCTGTGGATTCTTCTAAACTAGCCTGGGGAAGGAAATAGAACACTAGGTATATTGCAGAAAATCAAGAATTTCATTCATTATTTAATCTTTGTCTAGTTAGGAATTTCAATGGCTACATTATTTCTGACCAAGATATTTACCTCTACCACCACCCCATAAAAGTGGTTGTTAGTGAGCTATATGTCTGAAGAATTACCTTGGGCTCCAGTACATTTTTATTCATTAGTCAATTTCATTATCAAGAGGCCAAGAACCTGTCTGTTCCTCATCCAGCCTGTCCTAAATAATCCAAGCTCCAGTCTTCGAATGCTCAAGAGAATTATATAACCACCATTTTGGTTTGCAGAGGATGGAGAGTGGATGGGAAATGTAGACCACCAGATTCCATTTCCAGACGATGCTGATGTGCTTGGCACCCAGTGAGGGGGGGAAAGGGAGAGTTCCACTAAAGCTGTGTTATGGCATACATCCCAGCTGCTCTCAAATTGATTTGTGACAGTGAAATATTTTGAAAGTGCACTCAGCCATAGAGGCCAATAAATGACACCTTCTCTAGAAAACATCTATAGTTTGCACACATTCCATTGGGCAGAAGGATTTACTTGGATTGAAATTTTGGAAGGTGCACAGTTCATCGTATCTCTCTTTTGATGTTAATGGGCAAAATGCAGACAGCAAAGTATACAAAGGTTTCCTTCAGCTCTCCTTGACTTCTGGGTTCAATAGCTGCTGGTGTAGGTTCTCATGGCTCCAGTGTTGCCTCCTTCTCAAGTTGGCAGCAAAATTAAACCAGTACTTCAACCACAACAACAACAAAAAGAGGGTGGGGGGGAACAAGAAGAAACAGGAATCCTGTCTCTAAATACAGCTCCATACTGGAGCCTGGCACTCGTTTTCTCAGGGTCTCCTCTGGTTCAGGAGCTCTCCAAAAAAAGCAAATAAGAGTGCCCTAAGCCAGGGCTCTCCAACCTTGGCAACTTGAAGCGTTGTGGATTTGAACTCCCAGAATTCCCAATTTTGGGAGTTGAAGTCCACAAGTCTTCAAATTGCCAAGGTTGGAGAGCCCTGCCCTAAACCAACAAGCAGGCTGTTGTGTTCTGATCATGCTAAGGAAGTATATGGTAGTCCAAGGAAGGACAAGTATTATTCATTTGGGTTCATCAACCAGCATCAGGTGAAATGAGACATGGGCATCTGTGTTGCTCATGGTGGGCTTCAGAAGGAGTGGAGCAAAAGGCATATAAGTCTCCACCACCCAAGAAGGCTGTGAACAGATCCTGGTAACCTTTCACACCCAATACCTCTTTGAACAAAGAAAGCAGAACTCCCAGAAGGGTCTTAGCAAGAAATGTCAGACATAGAAAGAATTCTGACTCTGGAGGAAGAAAACATAACCGGCTGAAAGCATGCAGCATTTTAAAGATGTCTTGCTCCACTAAATCTATACTTAGAACTGCACCTTTTGAAACACTTCTCCAGCTGGCTGGAACTGATGTGAGTAGCAGGAGAAAGTAAGCCAAAAAATAAAACCTGGCTGTCACTATCACCTAAACGCTGCCTAATGGAGGGATGATGAATCATTGCCTCGTGCATGGCTATGGCTGTGTATACTATGAAAATGAAAGCTGTGCTCATGAACCAGAACCGGGCATCAGTACCAGTGCCAAGCTTGCCACCTTTAGTCACAACATACTCCAAACTGGAAGCACAATGAAGCACAACGCACAGACATTCTGCAGCTCTGTGGGGTCTCTTTCTAGGTGTTTCCCCTGATTCTGTGAGGAAATGGCCCAGTAGGTACCAGCTGCCTTTTGCTCTTGTCTGTTTACCACCCAATTTCCAAAGCCAGTGACTGGTCTATAGTCCCCATAAGCCACAACTCCTAAGTGCAAGATGCCTCTGACTCATTTCCATTTTACCCCACCGTCCACATTGCACAATTATCCTAAATCTTGAACTAATCAAAATCTAACAAACAAAATCATCCCAAAGCTATTATTTTCCTTCTTCCCCCAGCTGTCCCCCCCACCCTCACCCAAGATGCCTTGGTAAAAGTTAACTCTTTACATCTCTTTGGCAACAATAACTTAAATCTGCCACTCTGTTAGGGCAGGTGGGTAAACTTTGTACAAAAATAGTCTCAGTGGCAGTTTGATCTGCTTTTGCTATGCGTCTGGCTGGGCATTTCTTCCTACAGCTGAAGGGTGACGAAGTTTGGGGAAAAAAACAAAACCCCCATCCCTAAGACTTGGTATTCCTCTCACATTCCCAGCAAGTCACATCGTGGCTCTCTAGGAGGCACTCCCCAAATAATGCTGTAGTAGAGAACGGATGGTAGGTCTCAGCACCACATTTAACAAAACATTTAAGTAAGTTTGTTTGTTTTTTTAGTTCCTGTACTCCCCATTTCACCTCCTGGGATTCAGGCTGCTCGCTCAAGGCTAAGGAGGAGAAATGGGAAGTGCTGAAGGCCATCCAGACACCCCCTCCCAGGCTGCTCATATTGATCCTGCCCATGACAGAAGGCAAAGTCTTCGGTAGAACTGAACACCTGGGACCAGACCATGATTCTCAAAAGGAGGGGGGGACAATTTTGAGTTCCGCAACCATGATGCAGCTGAGCGACAGCAACCCAGGGTCAGTGAAGAACATAAGCAAAAAGGGGGGAAATGGCTGCCGAGACCAGGAGTCTTCGCTGCTCAAGACTTTAAATGTGACCTTCACTTCAGCTGGCTCCCCTACCTGTTTTCAGGTGTTTGGCCTACACTTGTCTCTGGCTCTTCTGGTAATTGATTGGCGTCCTCTGGACCGTCAACTCCACCTGATATTTGGACACAGCACACTGAAGGAAGGACAAGGAGAGCTTGCCCCCTGTGGCAAGACACAAGTACCATTGCTTGAGGATCCACCTGAAGCATGTCGGAATGGCACAAGGCGCAAGGCTACGTGCTCTCTCGCTCTCAAAATCCCCTATGGGGTGTGGAAAGAAGACACGATAAGCTCACAGAACAGGCAGAGGGAGGATGTCTCAGGGCGGTGCCCCAACTGGGGAAGCCAGTGTGGGTCAGAACATCAAGAGGCATGAGCTAGGAATATTACAATGGCTTATGTGGCGATGTTAGCAAGGTCACAGATCTACCCTTTAAATGCTATAGGTTCTATATGTCTATATGTGTCTATTTGTACACAAACGCTTTCCCGGGTGTGTGCGCACGCATGCACACACACACACACACACACACACACACACTCATGTTTTGCACAACCATCGCAAACCACCTCGTGGTAAGGTGGCTCCAGCCCAGCGGCAGTCAAAATCTGTCCAATAATATCTGAATGAGGCCCTGCAGAGTTCTGCTCCAGCCAGCTCCTGGGCCTCATCCGTGCTCATGTCCCCTGGTGCAGAAACTGTGCCGTGGGGGCAAAGTAGGAAGTCCAAAAGGGAGCGATAGCCAAGTTCACTCTCTGTTGCCATTTTCACTGTTGCCTAGAAAAGGGAAGAAGCTGTTAGAAACTGGAACCACAGAACTAGGGGCCTTGCGGGCCCTTTTCTTAGCTTTTCCAACACATCTGGTCTCCTCCAGACGCCTCAGGACTGTCACAGACTGTTTGAATTCAGTTCGTGACATATGGACTGTAAAACATATGTGTCTGTGAAAGGGATTCACAACTTCCACAGGCAAGTCGTCTACCTTCCAAGGGTTTGTGCCAGCCTGGTTTCTATATAAATGAGAAATATTAGATTTTTTTAAAAATTCAATTTGTACCCTGCCTTTATTTTACAGGTTACTCAAGGCAGTTAACATACAGTACCTAATACTCTTTTCCCCTTCTATTTCCTACAACAAGCACTCTGTGAGGTGGGTTGGGCTGAGAAAGAGGGACTGGCCCAAAGTCACTCAGCTAGCTTTCGTGTTTAAGCTGGGACTAGAACTCACTTTCCTGATTTCTAAGCCAGCACTTTAATCACGACACCAAATTAGTGGAAAGAAAAACATTGGAAGTATGGAAAAAGGATCCTAAACCTCCTACCGTCATACGAATGAATGGCTCTGGATTACAAAAAGGTAAACCTCCATACTCCCGCTAAAAAGACCATCATAAATCAAGTTCCCTTGAGTCAAGCTTGAAGCTGGTTTAACTCCTGGTGATTGTGTGGTTATATTTACATTGTTTTCTCAGCAGTGCTGTGGAAGAAGTTCGCCACTGCTGTCTTCCACATTGTTGTTCCTTTTCTTTAATCTAATGCCAAAAATATTGCAATCATCTCTTAAAATTTGGGGGAAAACTGAAATAATTTCATATGAATGTGGTCTCAGTAAAATAAATTGTTAAAGTGTGATTCAATCAACGATTAGAAGAGGCCCCTGCCTGGGGCAGGATTCAATGCAATGGATAAAAGTAACCAGTTCAGAACAGTCCTTCATGCCCTATCCAGAATTTCAATATTATTTTTAATCTCCTGGCTTTAATCATGAAACCTCTCCATGAGATCGTATGAATTCGACAATGCTTACCCCAAGAACAGAAAACTTGTGGATATCTTGGGGGCTTACCATTCCTTATGAAGGTCACTCTCTTTTGCAGTATTTGAAACGTCAGAACAGACCTTACCTCCTACAGGCTCAACCTTTGAATCAGTGACGTGTGTGATGGAGAACCGTGATACTGCAGCAGGTGAGACTGTGAAGCGTGAAAACTGGATGGGGAGCACTTGCTTCTGAGCAGCTACTAGTGTGGGGGACAGTCTGGGGAGACTGTCCTCAGGTGCCTCTGAGGTCAATGCGGGCAGGACAGGTGATTTCACGGGTATGAGGGAAAAGTCATCGTCCCATCCAAAGCCACCACCTGAAATGGAAAGGGTAGGTATAAGAAAGACAAAGAGGCTGACATGAAACCTGACATCCCTTCACCCATTCTCTACAACAAAGTTTCCCAAAATCCAACAGGATTTCCTGTATCAGACTGTGATGTGACACCTTCCAGGTATGTTGGATTTTGGCCAGGCTCCCTAGACGTTTAAACACAACATATTTGGAGGGCTTGAGGCTGAAGAAGAAATAATTGCTATGCAAAATATAGATAACCCTTGACTTAACAATCATTCGTTTAGTGACCAAAGTTACAATGGCACTGAAAAAAATGACTTATGACCGTTTTTCACACTTATGACCTCTGCAGCATCCCCAAGGTCGTGTGTTAAAAATTCAGGTGCTTGGCGACTGGTTCATATTTATAATGGTTGCAGGGTCCTGGAGTCATCTGATCACCTTTTGTAACCCTTCTGACAAGGAAAGTCAATGGGAAAGTCAGATTCATGTAACAACTCTGTTACTAAGTTAAAAACTGCACTGATTCACTTAACAATTGCGGCAAAAAAGCTAGTAAAGGGTTGTAAGGCAAAACTCAACAACTGTCCTGCTTAGCAATGGAAATTTTGGGCTCAATTGTGATCATAAGGCTTACCTGTACATTACATTGTGGTCATAAGGTTTACCTGTACATTGAGGTTTACCTGTACATTACTACAACATCATTCTTTATGATCTTATGATGGCCATCACAAACTATTCAGCAAGCTGCTTTTAGCAACCAAATTACAAGCTGGAAATTCCTACTCATAAACTAGTTTGTAATAAGAGAAAACTAAAAATGTTGTCTTGTTCCCAAGTCAAATGTGGACTCTGAAATATAGCAGCCATTGAAAAAGACCAGGTATATCACTGACCAGCAGTCACTATGCTGGCCTGCAAAACTTTTATGAGTCCAGATTCCTTCTGATGTTTTTTTCCAAGACAGATGGAATTTTTGGAAATGGGACAAATTGTCTGATTCTGCTGAGAAAATGCACATATGGAAAAAGGAGCAACAAACTCCCAAGTACAGCACATACAGACAAGTCCTTGACTTACGACCGTAATGGAGACTAGTAGTAAGTCGTGATGGTTGTAAAATAGGTTGGTCATGTGACTGACCCCATTTTATGACCCTTTTTTGCAGCTCATAAGTGGCCTCCCTGGTCATTAAGCAAACACTGCTGTTGTTAAGGAAACCAATACCTTGCTATGGTATGATTTTTGCCCCAAACTAAAAGTGACAGGTTTTGGCAAAATCATCATAAAATGCAATCACATGACTGTGAGTGCTGCAAATGGCCGTAAATGCGGCCATGTTGCTAAAGTGCTCAAAGTTTAGTCATGTGACCACAGCAGAGGTGACCCTCAGCACTTTGAATCCACGTTGTAAGGGAAGGTCTATTGTAACTTTGGTTATAAGCCAAGGACTACCTGTGTTCAGTTTTGATGTGAAACACATTTTAGTTTAGTCAAAATAGGTACATGCATTCTGATAATGCAAACAGGTCAAATTCAGTCGTAATCTTAACCATCTATGGAAGATAAAGTAACTAATCTTGCTAAGGAAAAAGGCAAAATGAGCTGGATTCAAGAGACGTAGTCATGAGGCTATAATACGATCTCATAGGCCTCAATTCCTCATTTGATCCATACTTTTATTCTCTTCAGAGGAGCTCCCTTCTGAGGTGCTGTTGGGTGCCTTTATCTCATCTGTTAAGCCTGGAGGACCTTTGCTCTCCACCTGCCCAGGTGGCGTTGGTGAAGCTTCTGTCACTCCTGGGAAAGGCTGTTCTGCAAGCTCCTTTGTGGGACTTTCCTGCATGTAAGACATTGAACGGATACAATTAATTCACAACCCGAGGGAGGAAAAACTGTACTCTGCTGCTATTATCCAAGACACCCCATGAAAAACCAAACGTTACTTATTTAGTACCTTCAACATCCAAGAAGCTGCAACCATAACAAACCTCCTCCCTCTTTCATGGCTCATTTCTATGTGAAATGTGAGGTCTAACTTTAAGATTTAGCTGGGACATGTAGTTTGTTTTAGTGTTCGTCTGGTCTAGAACTACTTAATCCAGGCTGCAAAATTCCAGACAGCCACTGACAGCCAAGCGCTAGGGAGTTTTCTGTATCTCTACTATATGCTGCTATCTTTTACTCAGATTAACTGGGCTTCACCTGAGTACTAGATAGCAGTATATTGAAAAGATACAGAAAACTCCAGTTCTGCTATCCCTATTTATAGTCATCCCCCTTCTGCTCTCCCAATCTTTGCTCATCCAGGAAGGTCTTAATCATGTTTGCATGGGTGATGAGATTTGTATTCCAATTCATCGTGAGGGCAGGAGGTTAGAGGAGACTGGTTGGTATTATTATGGCTAAGACTACAGAGTGTTATAATCAGAAGCCAGTAAGCAATTGATTGAAGTAGGTAGAATAATCAGATCTGCACTGCAAAGATCCAGTTGACCACCAAGAAATTTAGAAAGATCTGGATTTTGCAGTCCAGATGTGGTAGCTATTACATATAAAGAACCTGGTGTCTTTTACATACTTTGGATACCCATTAACTCTCCCCAGCTTTGCAATGGCAAAAAAACTTTTTATTTAAAACTTCTAGGACACGGGTGTCAAACTCAAGGCCCAGGGGCTTGATCAAGCCCGCGGGGTGCTTAGGTCTGGTCCACGGGCCTGCCCTGGAAACAGCGATGCACTGGCCCATGGTGCCTCTGCCAGCAAAAACAGAACTTGGGAGGGCCACACGCGCCCCCCACCCCACCCCAGGCTCTGTTTCTGACCACAACAGCCTCCTGCAGTCCTCTGCCAACAAAAACGGAGCCAACAAAAATATGGCCTCTCGAGCTCCCGAGCTGCACGTGAGGCCTTCCCGAGCTCCATTTTTCGCTGGCAGAGGGAGGCCCTGATGAGAGATATCAAGCTGGCCATGCCCCCTGGCCACGCCCCCCTGCCCTCCAATGTCAAACATAACTCTGACACAGCCCTTAATGAAATCGAGTTTGACACCCCTACTCTGGGAGGAATCAGGTTGCATATTTTGGCCTTGTGATATGATGATATTTAACACAGGATGCATGCTGTTCCCTGAGTCCCTTTCTAAATTACTTTATGTTGTCTCTTCAAGCCCTCCCCAACAAGTTACCTGGTCAAAGAGGTAGACAGTAACATCTTCGATGAAGGAAACAGCTTTCTTCTTGCGCTCCAGGTCATCACAAAAGGTCTCCACCACTAGGCTGGGCATCTTAAGCAGACTGCGCAGGTTACGGGCACTGTGGCTCTCAGCCACTACAATGGGCACAGCAGGCGATTCCTCCTCACTTTCCTCACTCTGGTCCTGAATGTTGTAGCACCGCAGCTCCTCATCTGACTCATCACTGTCCTCAGTGTCATCTTCTTCCTCTTCAAGATCAGTGGGGCTACATAAGAGCTGGGATGGCACTACTGACAGTTTGAGTGAGAGACCAGGGTTGCTCTGAAGTCCTTTGGGATGGCCAATTGCCTGTCTTTCCTCAGGTTGCTCAGCGTTCTTTGCCACATTCTCCTGTCCTGTATCCTTTACCTCATTTTCTTCACCACCTATGGTGGGTTCCTCTAGATTGGTGACCACAGGAGACAAGACAAAAGATCTGGTGAGTGGGGCTGGTGTCTGGGATTGCACAACGATCCCATTGTTCTTATCCTGAAATAAGTTTGAATCCAACTTATCAAGAGCTGCTTCATTCATCAACAGTTCCTGTGACGGGCTAATATCTCTGTCTTTCCCCGTGTCTTGGTCCTCTGCTCCTGGAGAGAGGCAACCCACACAGTCTTCATGTGGACAAATGGGCTCAGGACCAGCTGGCAGAGGTTCACCTGTCCTGCCAATTGGTTCAGAGTTTCCCTTCAGTTCTTTGGTGTGTGACTGGGAGACTCCCAGTTCATGTTCCTCAGAAGCATCACTGTCCTCTTCGCCATCCTCCCGAGTGCCACCTTCAGTATCATAGTCAGAGAAATACGCGGAGTCACGGTAAGGATTCTTCTCATTCAAGGCCTGCAGCTCATCAGTAAAAGAATCAGAAAGACTCTGCTCTTTGACTTGATCGTCCTTATCATCTTCAGATGTTCCCAGCTTCTCAGAACCTTCAGATTCCCGTGACTCATGAGGTTCCCTGAGGACAAATTCAGGCGACTCATAGTTCTCTGTATCATAGCCACTATCCAGAGCCTTAGGCTGGCTCGAGGATATATAAGCTATGGGACTGAACGCGTCACAGGAGCTGGTGGTAGAGGGGATATCCAATGAATCTAGTGAATCTGGGGTCTCTACTTGTTTCTGTAAGGTTTTGAAAGCAGGGATTACATCTTGCTGCTCAAGACAGTCAATTGGGAAGTCAATAAAAACTCCAGATGTAAGATCAGTGGAGTCCTCATCACTGGCCTCATCCAAGTCAGGGAAACTGGTACTGGAAACAGTCTTGTCTGGTGTTCTATCTTGTTCGCTTCTGGTGTCCTTGCCACTTTCTATATTGATCTCCTGTGGCAACTTAGGTGAGCATCCAGTGGAGGTCTCTTCCATAGGGTCTTCTTCTATGTTTGACACCTCAGCTATTGATTCATCCAGCAGAGTTGGATCTATAGCCTCCATGCTGCTGGCAGCTTCTTCCTTGGAAGGTAACAGCGATGGTGCTGACGACAGACCCATCAAAACGTCTTCCCCTGATGGTAGAGTGATGGCTTGTGGGCTCTCCACTCTGCTGTCTATCAAGGGATCTATAGAGCTTTCCATGTCAGGCAATGTAGCACTTTCAACTGAGACGTTTTCCTCTGCAGGCAAATCGCTATCTGGACATGGGGAGCCTATGTGAGATGATGATGTCATGTGTTCCCCACCTAGCAGAGCTGTTCGCAGATCTTTGATCCCTAATGTTGGCTCATCCCGTGGCACTGTGTCCAGTGGCTGTGCCATTAGCCCCTGGAAGGTGATCATATGCCGGTAGCACCAGCTATCTTTGGCAAGGGGTTCACACGATGGCAGTAGGTGATCGTTATCGTTTTTGACTGAAGTATTGGATGTCCAAGGCTTGCCTGAAGAGGGGGATTCGGAGCTTTCATTTCTTTCGCTCCTAGGACTACCACTCAAGCGCTCCTCCTCTGCCACTTCCAGAATGACTGAGTCCGATGGAGCCTCCTCGCAGGTGTAATTCTCTGATGGCGACACACCAAGTGGATCAGCAAAAATGCTTTTCTGCAAAACTAGACCAGGCCACTCAGAAGCACTGGGATCCTTGAGCAGGTATTCCTCAGCACTGTCCTTCAGGGAGTCCTCATAGTATGGGGCCTCTTTACTGTCTTGTTCTCCATAGGAGTAATAGTCAGAGGGTTCCCAGTGGCTTTCGGGGTGTGCTGATTGGCCCAGGAGGGGTTCCATGGTGAGGGAGATGGTGGGACTATTGTTGGATTCATAGTGGTCCTCCTTGGTTTGCCAGCGTGAAGAATGGCTAAACTCAGGGCTGTAGGAACACACGGTGTAATCAAGGTCATTCCCACTGCCTTCAGATGCCACCTCTTCAATGCGAATATAGTACTCACTGTTCAAAGAGGGGCTATGGGCACTCAGCACGGGGACCACCCCTGGTGTGTGCAAACCAGGGCACCCCTGCATTTTACATTCATAGCAAGAGGGGGACACCCCCAGGCTGAGGTGCCCACCTCCACTGCTGCTGCTCGCCGAATAGTAGAGCTCATGGTAGCGTGCAGCCCCACCAGGGCTCATGGCGGAGGCTGGGAGATGTTCAGCTTTCCCTTGGTCCCACTTGTATTCAAAGTTGAGGCCATGGCTTGTCTCCATCACAGTGAGAACATCGTCACCATCGTTGGAGAAATGCTCCAGAAGAGGGAAGGAGGAAAGCTCCAAACCCATGTGGTTAGATCCAGAGCCTGAACCGCCAGTGCCTCCGGGTTTCATGGAATTCCAGCGCTTCTCAAAGTCCTCCTCTGCTTCGGAAGCCCCCTTGGCACACAGGTAAGAGAGCAAAAGGTGCACCTCCTCTGCGGTGGGGCGCTGCTCTGGCTGAAGCCAGCAAAACTGCATAACCTCATACCTGTGAATAGCGAGAAAAGAGCAGTGGTGAGGCAGAGGTCCTTTGCTGTCAGGAAAGTGGCTATTCTGCACCCCGCAAAGAGCTCATCCTCCTACACTTTAAGACCAGTAGTGAATGCTTCACAGAAAAGAGAAAGAAAAATGACCTGGGTAAGGAAGAAACAAAGGTCAGAGAAAACAGCACCTGAAGAAAACAAGGCTTTTTTTTCTGATAGGATTTGCTTCCCGGCTCCAATCAACATCCTGGCCCCACCATCCACACTGCCAAAATCTTTATCAAAGCTTAAGATGGTGGTGCAGATGTGGCCTAGACAAAACATTATTCTGGGCCAGATGCCATGCTTCTATGGAAGCAGCTTGGGACTATCTCAGCCTTTTTAGCAGTGGTGCTACCCTACTGGCTCCTATTCAAGACATCCTTCTCCTTCTCATCATATGCACTTCTGTACTCCTTAGGCAGGCAAAGGCAGTGCTCAATTTACGGCTGTAGCTGAGCCCAAGATTATGATCGTCATTAAGGGGATCGCCACATGACTGCCAACTATATTACAACCATTTTTGCTGTGATTTTGCAGTGAGAACAATTGTAAGTGATCAGTTGTTAAGCAAGGACTACCTTTATCTGTCCATCCAGCTTTCGTTCATTCAATTGCACAAGATTTAACACGTTAACTATCAAACATGACACTTGCTTATTCAAATATGATGAATACCTACATGTTCAAGTAGGTTGAACATCTACTCAAGAAGTTCTCCTTCCCTCCACCAGCTTTGTTTGAAGGGATGCAGCACGCCCCACCCCCGCACACTGTTTTGGCTTTCCTGAGTTTCCAGGGAGGCTTGAGAGGCCCAAAATGGGGTGCAGGGGGATGTGCCCCCCCCCCGAGCAGGGGTGGGATTCTACCAGTTCACACCTATTTGCTAGAACCGGTTGTTAACGTTCTAAGCAGTTCGGAGAACCGGTTGTTAGAAGAAATTACTGGCCTAATCCTGTAAGGAAGGCAGGAAGGAAACATTCTGGTGTTGCTTACAGAAACTGCCTTTCCGTTAACCCTTATTACATTCTTGGCAGGACTAGACTTCCTGTCTCAGGAAGGTCTCTGGAGTTTTTTTCCCCTCCTTTGCTGGTACTTTGCTTGTGTGGAGTGACCATTCAAAGTTGCAATGGCACTGAAAAAAGTGACTTATGACCATTTTTCACACTTACGACTGTTGCAGCATCCCCACAGTCATGAGAGGCCAGGCGAGGAGATGCGTGCCTCGATGTGAGTGATATTGAGTTGGCCACACCCAGCCAATAACATGACCACCAAGCCATGCCCACTACCTAAGCCACAGAACCGGTTGTTAAAAATTTGAATCCCACCCCTGACCCCGAGCCCTGTTTTTGCTCCCAGGAGGCTGCAGAGAGGCTTACTAGGCCCAAAACAGGGCAGGGGGTGGGAGGCGGCAAAAGAAAGAAAAAAGACAAAGTAAGAGGGAGGGTTGGGAGAAAGAAAGAGAAAGAAAGAAAATGGAAGGGGAAGGAGGACGGGAGAAAGTGTATTCCAATCACCCTTTTCTCTTCCTTATCCTCCTTAAAAAACTCTTGTCCCCACCTGGTTACTCACCAGCGATCAGATAGCGAGAGTGGAAGCTGTGGTTTGGGAAGTTTAAGCTGCTGCTCTCTGATAGCGTAAGTGAGGACTTGCCGATCGGAATAATGACAGTAGGGCTGGCCACCCAGCTCAAACAGCTCCCAGATAGTCACACCCAAAGACCTGCCAAGAGAGGAGAAATGGGGGGAGAAACACTATAGTCAGAATGCAAGATTGATACATAAGATCACATTCTTTGATGCCAGAACACTCTCTCTCTTAGTTACTGAAATATTCAGGGGCTTCCAGACGAAAAGCCAGTATACCGTGCATATGGACAGAAGTTGTAGGAGCAAATGAAAAGGGTGCATGTCAAGGGTGGGGGGGGGAGCTGGATTTTCCAGAAAATTCTGTGACAAGAGGCAAGACAATTGCCTTAAAGAAACTTTTATCTAGAAGCATCCTTTGTAATTCACCATCAAGAGAGGGAAAAAATCCAGACATGGAAAACAGAAACGAAACCAATTTATAAGAAAAATTCCAGTAACACTGTGAAGCAGAGTCACTCCAGTGATACATATGAACTCCGCTCCGTAGCCCTATCAATAACTTCTAGCTACAATAACCAAGACCCTAAGTCTTGCAAAAACTGTTAGGCTAATTCCATACTTCGAAGACTGTCATTTAAAACACTGTCCTATTTTCTTAATGAGCAAAAAGATGCATTGGGGAAGGGGAAGGGGAGATCCTCTTTTATATAATTCAGACCTAAATGATAAAAACAAGCACCAGAATTTGGTATTTAGCACAGAAATAAACAACAAGTAAAGTTTAAATATAATTAACATTAGGTGCTTCACTAAGATTACGTTTACTACAACAGTTGCATCTTCAACACTATTCATTATTCTTTATTTAATTTGTATCCCACTTTTGTTATTTTTACAAATAACTCATCAGGCAAACATATCCAACACACCTTATTCCTCCTATTTTCCCCACAACAACCACGACGTGAGGTGGGTTGGGCTGGGAGAGAGTGAGTAGCCCAAAGTCATCCAACTAGCTTTCAGGGCCAAAGTGGGACTAGAACTCACAGCCTTCCTCTTTCTAGCCTGATACCTAACCACTAGACCAGGGGTGTCCAACCTTGGCAACTTTAAGACTTGTGGACTTCAACTCCCAGAGTTCCTCAGCCAGCTTTGCTGGCTGAGGAACTCTGGGAGTTGAAGTCCACAAGTCTTAAAATTCCCAAGGTTGGACACCCCTGCACTAGACTAACCTGGCTCTCTAACCCTCTGTCTAAAAGCTTTGGAGCCAGTATTCTCTTCCCAGGCCAAGTGGATTTCATACACCAACCCAGTTTTTTCTTACCAGATGTTGCTAGTCTTAGTCTGGTCTACGATCAGCAGGTTGCCATGGACTTCATCAATCAATTCAGGGGCTACCCAGCGTAGTGGAACCCATAGTTGGTCGGCGGTCACAAAGTAGTCATCCTGACAGGCATGCAGGGCCAAAGGGAGAGCACATCAATCAAACCAGCAACGACAACACCTGTCTCCACATTCCCGGTCTTAAGTCAGAGCTGCCAAATTCCTTTTGCCCGAGAAAAAATATAGTTGGCACTACTGAACATCTCCACCAATTGCTTCTGGCCCTTTCACCTCTCCAACTCAGTCATTTGGCTTAGTCGTTTATTAATTTTTATTTTACTTGAAATACTTCAAGTCTGCCTTGTGGAGTACAGATCTTCCCAAAGCATCTTGTGGAATAATAAACAAACAATATATTTACAATTTATTAAAGTAATGAGGGTAAAGCAAATGTCCCATTCCCCACCCGTCCCAAAACTCCCCTAAAAACACCACTTAAGGGAAGATCGTAGAAAACAGGCCAGTTTTTCAAATGGTAGTTATGGGGGTTCCTGAACTTTGTTTTTCAGGATCATTCAAGAGATATGTATCTATATGTTCAGAAAGGTCTTTTCTCTTGCAGCTCCTCTTGGTCCTAAGAATCAGGCCAGTAAGAAAAGCCTTCTTTGCAGTCTTAAAGTATGAGCAAGCAGGTGCAGGTGCTTCATTAAGTTAGAGGGCTTAGATTTTAAGGGTTTTTTTTTTTAATATTACAAAGAGCACATTAAATGCAGCTTGGAAATGCACTGGCAGATTCACCTCATATTTCCAACAATGCTGGCCCAGCCATCTTCTGCATCAGCTTAAATTTTTAAGCCACCTTTAAAAGCAGCCACATATAAAATATGTATGTATGAATGAGAAAAATTCATTCACAATGTATATATGCATAAGATCCCACGCGTGAATGTGCATTAGCTTCTGATATACCTTGATGCATTGTCTCCTCCTGTATTTGTCTCTTACCCGTTTCCCCCTCCTTCCCAGGACTCTCTCTCAACCATTTCTGAAAGAGAGCTGCTTTCATTGTCAGCCTTTCAAGTCCTCTCCAAATCCTGCCCACAGCAAGTGCTCTCGCTCCCTGTCCTTGTAGTCCCCCACAACCCCTCCCAGCTCCCTGCCCCCAAACACACTTACTTTGTATTTGCAGTGAGAAAGGCCATAGTCACCAATTTTGACAGTAAGGTCAGCTGTGAGTAAGCAGTTCCGCAAGGCCAAGTCACTAGACAAAAGAAATATCCAACAGAGTTTGTCCATGAGGCAGCAGAGGATCATTATGATGCAGATTAGATTAGCAGCAGAACTAAACTAGGGAGTGGCAACTGTTGTGTAGGGCAGAAGTGCTACTCAGCCTTTATTACTTAGTTTATCATAGGCAACAAGGAATATCTCTGATTAGCCCTGGAAATATGTCAAGAAAGGAATCCTCAGAAAGAAGCAGAGTTGGAAAGCCAAGCCACCATACAACAATATACCAACTGGGATAAATTCTGCTTTCTCTCAGCCTCACAGCTTGATTTTCTAGCAAGGTCCTCCTACCGTAAAACCATGCATTTAAGGGCACACCCTTTTGATTGGCAGATGGAAGCCAGTTTTCAAGGCCAGACCTGAGCATGGTCTAAGCAACTTTAAGAATGTCACAGAAAGCAGATAGCAATAATAATGACAGGAACCCACCTCCTGCTGTACTAATGAGTCTGCACTCTGCAAGATTTAACAAAAGCTACGCCACATGAAATCTCTGTTCCTCATTCCGGTTGTTTTTTAAAAAAACACTGCATGTTTATCCACAAACCCTGAATACAGGTAGTCCTCAACTTACAATCACAATTGAGCCCAAAATTTATGTCACTAAATGAGACATTTGCTAAGTGAGTTTTGCTGATCTGTTCCCACAGCTGTTAAGTGAATCTGGTTTCCCCATTGATTCTGCTTGTCAGAAAGTTGCAAAACGGGAATCTTATGTCCCTGGGGCACTGCAACCGTCATAAATATGAGTCAGTTGCCAAGCATCTAAATTTTGATCATGTGACTATGGGAATACAATGGTTGGAAGTGTAAAAAACAGTCATAAGTCACTTTTTTCAATGCTGTGTTATAATTTTGAATGTCCCTAAATGAACTGTTGTAAGTCGAGGACTACCTGTTCTGTTCCTTAACATGGGTTGAGGATTCTCAGAGCAGAGATGCTCCCCTGAGTAAGCACACTGACTCTAATTTTTGTGAACTGAATTACAAAAAGCAAGTGCCCACCTTGGTTCTGCTTGGACCCTTATTCTGTCCTCTATCTTAGCTATCTATCTCCCTCAAGAGAAAATGTCTCCGTGAAAAAATGTGGTAAATATCCATGTCACAGAGGGCTTTTTGGGGGGGAAAAAAACCAAAAACCAAAGGCAATTTCAGCTTTTCCTTCCCACTGCTGGCACATAATTTCCTATCAGTGATCACGATGGTAGTTATAAGCTATTCTTCCAACTGCATGAAAGCGTGCTAAGGTACGTGGTATGGATCACATTTACTCAACATCTTTTTTTTTTTTTTTTGCACCTTTTGCGATTTCAGAAGAACTGCTGAGCCCAACAAGCACTGTAGAATAGATGCCTTTTTTATTATTATTTTAGGAGAGATTTTAGTACAGCACAAATGGGCCCGTTTCTCTTCCTTTGCAAGGCTATGTGACATTTTAAACGTTACTCAATCAAATGTTTATGTCAGCTCTGAAAGATAATGCCCCTTTTTATAGCTACGTTAAATAGGGAGAGAGAAAGGAGAGGAAAGGGTGGGGGGAGGCAGAGAAAGAAGAGAATAAAAGAAGCACGTCAAAGCAGAAAAAAAATGGCTTATCTTCTAGTCTAGGCACTGTTAGTCCCTTCCAGCTCAGTAACCAGAGACATCTACGGCATCCCTGTCTTCTGTCCATAAAAGATGTTCCAGGAGATGGCAAAGCACCCCCTCTTCAACAAAATCACTGATGCTGGAGTCTTTGAGTGCCACTCACTCAGCACCAGGATATTGTTGACGGGGAGGAACGGGTGATAAGAAGACAGCAGGAACGGAAGAAGTTTATCCAGGCTTGTCTGGTTTCTTGCCGGAAGCCAGATGCTGCAACCCGTGTCCCCAGGCAAGACCACAGGAATGGGTGGGCGGGGTGGGTGGGCGGACTGGTTGGAAAGTCAATGTTACAGAGAGCGTACCCTGTGTATCCCCCCCCCCGCCTAAACAAATTCAAACTTCAGTTACCACAATACACAATACATAAAGGCTCAAATTCTCCTTTGGGCCATTACTCCCTCCCCCAAGAACCCTATTCCTAGCCCCTTGCCAGTTCTTTTTAAGGCAAAGGCTGCATTTGAAATAATCAACACGTTCAGGAAAAAAAGTAGGTGGAACCATAAAGAAAAAGAGAGTAAGGACAGAATAAAAAAAGATAAGGAACACCTTAATATTTAATACATATGATAAATGAGTAAGTGAAAGAAAAACTCTGGGACTGACTGTAGCCAGCCAGATAATTGTATCAAATAAAATAAAATAAAATCCAGAAGAGGGCATGAAAGCCTTAGCAGCGGAACAGAATACCATACTCTCATATATACTTTTATTATCTTTGTCAAATTTTAAAAGGCCCCGATGGGCCATTGTTGGTGCCAAAATTCTGCCATTTTTAAACAGACACATTTATGAAGGCATGAAGAAATACATTTGAAAGCATGAGAATGGTGTAATTAGAACACATTTCTGAAGAGTAACTTTATATAAATGTAATACTTTCCTCGATATCTTATGCTTGTCGGCTTCTGTTTTCTAACCCCAATCGTTTTAGAGAGCCTACTTTCCAAATTTCAGCAGGAGATAGGGTGGGGCATGACACACAACCATGAATTGCCAACTCATGCTTTTGAAAATTTGTTTTCAGGAAAAGACATGCCCTTGGATTATCACACTGCCACTCCTAGTCAGGGGTGGGATTCAATTTTCTTAACAACTGATTCTGTGGGCGTGGCCTAATTTGTGGGTGTGGCTTGGTGGTCATGTGATTGGGTGGGCGTGTCTTGCTGCCTGGTAATGGCTTGGTGGTCATGTGATTGGGTGGGCATGGCTTGTAGGTAAATATTATAAATATTTATGTAACTATTGATTTTTTTATAAAAAACAGCAACTTTTACCCAAAAGCAGGCAAAGCAGGCAGGCAGATTGAGTTGCTCACAGAATCACAGATTCACTTAGAGATCTATCTATCTGCAATCGGCTACCTGAATTTGTCACATAAAATTTGCTTGCAAGCAAACTCACAAAATTAACTCACAACACACCATGTATGTAAATATTGATTTTTTTTATAAAAATAAAAACTTTTACCCAAAAACAGGCAAAGTAGGCAGGCAGATTGAGTTGCTCACAGAATCACAGATTAACTTAGAGATCTATCTATCTGCAATCGGCTACCTGAGTCTGCATTGAAAAGCTTCAGTCCTAAGGAAGGTTCGACTCTGCTTTTAGATTAGCTAGAAAGCAAGAAATCCAAGGATTTCCTGCTTTCTAGCTAAGCTAAATCTCCTGGCAGAGCAGAACAGCTGATGGTCGGGGGGAAAAAAGGAAAAGTAGCAACTTACCAAACCAGGCAAGTTGGATGACTCGCATGCCAGGTAAGGAGTGAGTGGGTGGGGAGGGGAGGGGCCAGCCAGTGGAGCAATTTGCTGGTTCTCTGAACTGGGGACAATCATGTGTGCAGCGTTTGCAAGAAATCATCAGCTGTGCCACCTGGACAGCTGACAAGTGCTGCACTCGGATGCGCAGCGTTTGAAAATCCTTTTCTTTCCTGCTTTTTTCAATCTCAGCTGTGCCGCGCAAAGCAGCTGAGGAGGGAAAAGAAAGGAATAAAGGACAGCCTAGAGCCCGGGCAGGTAGGTGGGCCAAACGCCGAACCGGTTCGGTGTCAGCTGCTCTTCGCAGCTACAGGTTCTATAGAACCGGGCCGAACCAGTAGCATCCCACCCCTGCTCCTAGTCACCAGGCCTCAGATAATATCATACAAAATATCATTGATTCGTCATCAAGGCAGTGCTGATATGGAAGGGTCCACAGTTCCATGGCAGAAGATGAAGCAGATGAAATCCTGGAGTCTCCAGGTAAGACTAGATAAGATTCCTCTCTCAAAATCCTGCAAAAAGATTAGGCCTTAACCCTAAACTAGTACAGGTAGTCCTCGACTTGTAATGGTTCATTTAGTGACCATTCAAAGTTACAACAGCACTGAAAAGAGTGACTGTTTTTCACACTTACAAATATGTTGCAGCATCCCCTTGGTCGCGTGATCAAAACTAAAATGCTTGGCAACTGGTTCATATTTATGGTGGTCGCAGTGTCCCAGGGTCATGTGATCCCCTTTTGCAACTTTCTGACAAGCAAGACCAATGGGGAAGCCAGATGCACTTAACCACCATGTTACTAACTTAACAATTTCATTGATTCACTTAACAACGGTGGCAAGAAAGATCATAAAATGGGGCAAAACTCACTTAGCAAATGTCTCGCTTCGCAACATAAATTTTGGGCTCAGTTGTGGTCGTAAGTCGAGGACTACCTGTATGTCTAAAGACCTACGGATATACAGATAGCTACCTCAGGATAGCTTTGAAAAAAGCATCTGCTGCTCCTTCCTTATTTGCTAAGTTCTCCCGAAAGAGTTCTCTTTTCTGAGTTCTCCATCTAACCATTTTCACTCTGCCAATTCTTGAAGAGAACTGTTTTCCATTTTCTTTTTAGGCCCTTAACCTGAAAGCAGGGCAAGCAAACAAATCTTCTCAACTTACCTATGGACGTAGTTGTTGCGATGAAGATGCATCAAGCCACAAGATACCTCGCAGGCCATGCGTTGCAATGTCAAGGGATCTGGTGCCAGAGCTTCTGCGGCATGGCAGCTTCGTAGGTAGCCCTTCAGGTCACCCTGTTGGGAGCGGCAGCAGCATTAGCCACAACCACAACGGCCTCAAGATCTCTCTGTGAGGTGTGAGTGGTTGAAAAAGAATAAGGGGAGGGAGGAGAAGCAATTCTGCAATGTGGTCAAAAAAAATATATATGAGACCACGATGGTTCAGATTTGTCCCCCTCAAGATGGAGGTTTTTTTTTAAAGAATTCCTAGCCATGTTGGAATTCTGCATATCTGGGGAGACAGAAGAAAGCCTCCTATTTCAGCTCCATAGGTAAAAGAGGGGCATCTCCCCACCTGTTGTTAACAAGCCAAAGTAGCTCATTGCAGAGAGAATGAAAAGGCGCACTTCTGTAAACTCGAAACATACCTGCTGAAGCAAATGGTTTCAGATGACCCCAGCAAGAGTCAGGAGAACAAGACAACTCAACAAAAGGAACAGCTCTTTCACCAACCACACTTTTGTCCTTCTCCTGTCCCAAAGCTGAAGGGAAGAAGGGAAATTGGTATTTTCCCCTCCATTTAATGGACTTACCAATGGGCAAAATTCCATCACCAGCAGATAGGGGGTCACCTCCGCACACTGAGCCAAGCACTGCAGGAGATTGGTATGCTGGAGTGCCCTGGGCAGAAAGGTAAGAGGTGCAAGTGAGACTGGAAGGAAATAAGCAAGTGGCAGAGTCTAGAGCCACATAAGAGAAGGCTTGGGAAAATTTGCAGACCTGGCAGGGGATTTGGTTCATGGTGGGTTGAGGTGCGTCAGCGTTATAGAATGAGAGAAATCAAAGGGCTACAGCAGTGAGGCAACAGCTAAAGACCAAGCAAGGAGCAGGGTGATCATAGCTAGGAAGCAGTACACCAGGCTTACAGGTGACACCTCAACTAGGTTAGCTGAAAAAGGATTTTGTTTGAAGGTGCTTCATTTCTCTTTCAAGCAACTTTCACACCAGTTTATATAAGGACAGGGAAGGGTTCCTATGATGCAACTACAAACTGGCACTGAATAAATGGGTCCTAAGCTGTGCCAGCTATCTCATAAACAATAAGGACTGTTTGTTCATGAGTCAGTAAAGTAATTCATTGCTCCCCCAGCACTCTCCCTCCCCTTCTGTGTATCTTGGTCAGATTCTCTGGATTCAAGAAATTTCTTTGCTACTCCAGGATTTATACTGAGAAGAGAAGATGTAATACTGAGTAAGCTGCCTTGATATTTCAGAAGCTAAAACAGGACCAACCCTAGTTAGCATTTAGTTAGCACCTAGGAAGCACCTGTAGGTTTGATTAGCAAGTAGAAAGAACCATCCTGAAGAAAGACAGTAGCAAACTACATTTTGTAAAACTTCCATAAAAACATCTTGGATGTATCATCAAGAGTGAAGCTCCATTCAAGGATACCTTTATTTTCAATCTTATCTCTAGCTTTCCTTTAAGGATTACAAGTATGTAGTTCCTCTCATAACTTCTCAATATCATTTATTTGAGGGAGGGACACCATAAAAGATCCAAATTTTCAAAGCCCTCAAACCTTGCAAGATTTTGATAATCTTAACTGAAGTGTCATAATATATTGGGTAAGAAGGCTGGAATTTGCCAGTTCTCAAAGTAATACAAAAATCTTATATTTGGGTCATTATTTTTTTTAAAAACTTAACGTTTTCATTTTATTTTATTTTATTAAGAGTATGAGTGCTACTTTCAGGAATTTCTGAAGTTGAGCAATCTCTCTTTTACTCCTTTGCCAGTGTCAGACCAAATTACAGGTGGTCTTAAAGCTGCTTCTTGATACTGATGCTTTGATCTAGAGATATTTTCATCACCATCTCTTATGATCCAACCCTGTTCTGTCAACATAGGAAAGCTGATAGTTTCTATTCACATAAGCCTTAGTTTCCATACCTCATACACAGATCCTGGCTGGAACTGTAACAGCCACAAATAAAAGAACAATTCTAGCAGTAGTATGCTCACAGGTGCAGCTCCACAGAAATTTTGTCAGAATGCTGAGGAAATCTAGATAGCCCATAGCCTGCTACTGAAAGGCGTGAGAGAACCTACCTGTAAGGTTGTGCCTCTTCCAAGAACTGCATTTGATCCTGCACGCTGGCACTGGCCTTAAGCTCCTTCACCACCACCTGAGTACTGCTCAACCCTGCATTTACCTCACCAAGGAACACCTAAAATGAAAGAGAGAAAGTTATAGGCATCATGGTCTGGGATCTTGCACTTCTGATTTAGGATGATAATGACTTTATGAGTTAGGGAGGGCCACGATAATTGTCATGTAAAATTGTATTAATAGATCAATATCCTCTTAAGTAGCCACCAGAGAGCCATCATGAAATTTACTGCAACTTGGTAATCCAGCAAGAATAAGGAATTTGCTAACCCTTCTCGCCCTTAGTTTTTCATGTATGAACATTCTTAAACAATACTGGGAAACTTTCAAGCATAAGAACATTAGTCATCCATGGTACCAAGCCAATGTTTTGATCAGTAGTTTTCCAATGTGTGACTTAATGTTCCACTAGCAATCACAACCCAAGCTTTTTGCAAAAGCACAAGTTCACTCAGCAACTACAGTGATTCAGGACAAATTAGTATGAATTATCTTTATAAGTTGGCTTTAAGTTTTTTATGTTCCACATAACAATTTAATTCATGTATTTACTTTGTAATATTTACTCCACTGTCTAACTCTCAACTATTTTTCAGGTTATAATACCCCATAAAAGAGTCATTTGGTTTCTATGTCCTACCCATCACCTCTCTCTGCACACGAATTCTTGTTTACCCTGCTGTTAGGCTCCAGGGTCTTAAAGCGACTTTGCTATCAGTTCTTCAGCTGGCTTTCTGTGGAAATTTAATGGAAAACCAGGTGAACTTTCTGTGACACCCAAATAGGAGGCAACAGAAATAAATACAGGAAAAATCAGAGCTGCTGCATGGGGTCTATGGGAAGTGCCAGATCTAATCTAGTAGTTACAGAGTTATCCTTACTTTTGAACCTCTGCCTCTCCTCTTTTGGCAATTTCCCCTCAACAATGACACACTTTTGTTCTTTCCACTCAATTGCTCACTTTTATGTACTAGGAGCTAATGCAGAATTGACATTTCAATTTTTAATTCTGTAAGTTAATATATATTGTTCCACAGTCTCACTCCTCTGCTGCCAAAAGCACTACTCCAAGGGACAGGACCTATGCCTAAGAATAAAACCTACTCTATCCTTTCAACTTACTAAATCCACTCCCTTTGGCCTTGGTTCTTTCTCTGTGTCCCCACTCTTTCTTCCCATCCTTCCTGTGTTAATTGAAGATTGGTGATCAGCCCAGCTTACCTTGCCAAACCATCCATGGCCAATTTCTTTGAGGTATAGCAGGCTGTGACGTCCCAGGTCAGTGGACTTGAGCAACTGCACTGTGAAGGAACACATAGAGCAGTCTGAATTTCTGCACTCTCTTTCTGATCAGTTGGTCTCTGTTCCGCCTTGGCCCCATGCTGTCTCATCCTAGCTTTCTGCAGAAGAAGAGGCCTGGGACAACAGCCGCATGCAGGTACAGATACAGGAAAGTCCTCAGAGAAAAATGGAGATATCAACTTCTGGAACCAGGTTCATTGCAATTCTTTGCTACACTGGCAGAGTCAAGTTGGGGCCGAATAATTCTCCCCAAGCGCAGGAAGAAACCAGGAGCTTTCTGCTACAGTCAGATGTCTGCCTAAGCTCCCAGGCATTTAGAAAGCATCTGTTCAGGGTCTACTCAAGCAGGCTCTCCCATGTCCCAAATGCAGCAGTGCCACCCTTCATTCCCTCAGTGCCAGACACCACTGTTCCCATCACACTGAGAAGCAAAGGCTTTATTGTTGTCCCCGGCGCAGTGGTGGCTAGAACTTAAAACATTGAATCCATTCTTTATGGGGTCCGTTTGGATCACACAATGCTCCACTGGGCTGCAGAGTGTGGGCAGAGCAGAGCGGAGCCATCGCATGGCTAAGTGGCTCGTCCCTCTCCCTCCTACCCAGCGGGACACGTCTCGGATTCCTCAGTTGCTTCACATGGGAAGGAATGCGGGGCCCGTGGGATCTGGGATCAAAAAGCCCTTTGTCTCCCGATGTTCGTGAGGGAGAGAAAACCTTCAGGCAGGACAAGCAGCAGCCTCTGCTGAGATGAAAAGATCAAGGGCAAATGCCTCATGGGGAAGCCTGTCCCGCTACCTCTTGTTTTGCCTGCGACCAGGCTAGCTAATGGAAGGACTTGGCTGCACAGGCGCCTGTTCTCCAGGTCTATGCAACACGGGGAAGGTGCCCTACAACTTCTCATGTCCCCTAAATCAGAATGCCTTGCCACATTGAGCCCACAAGGTGGCATTGGCAACTCACGCTACCACATACGTATGTGCGGAAACCAGAATAATCCAGAAGATACTAGTTAAGGGGGGAGAGAGGGAGAGGAGAAAATTTGGATATGCTGTGCAGCAATAAGTACAAAGTTCTAGAACCCAAAAATTAGAGCAGCAGGTGCTTATTGAAGAAAGGACTGCCATGACTAGCTCTCCTCTTCTGTTTATACCTGGCAGTAAAATGACTAAAGCAAGATTGGGGATCTCTTGCTTTAGGGGCAATCCACAGGATTTTGAAGTAAAAGGTGAGGAAGGAGGGATGCATGGCCTTCACTCTAGGCTATTCAATGGAAATATGCAACCTAGGCAGCAAATACATCCTTAGATGTGAGAAGATGTGTGACAAAGCATGACTACAACATTCAGAGGAATGGGACTCAAGAACCAAGCCATCATTAGGTGCTGTAAACAAATGGACCGGGAAAATATGCTAGAGAAAAATCCTCCTTCTCCTCAACTGTTTCCAATGGCAACAAAGCATTGACATCACAGGACAGAGGTGGGCCTACGGGAACTGAATTCCATGATTAAAAGAGGATTTGATCCACCTCAACATATTCTCTATCAAGCAGCTGCAAGTGGGTTGTGGGGGAATCCAGCCAAGCTCATGTATTTCCTTGACAAAGGTGGGTTGGGAGAGATGAAGCCTGGAGATTTGCAGTACACAAAAAAAGATGTCTGAGGCCAAAAGGACAGAAGACATCTAAGCAGTTATCTGCAGAACAGGATCTTGGGAGAATAAACCAAGAATGTTGGACACATACCATTATGAGGCCTAGTGTGGTCTTACTTTAGCTCATTGCAGGCAATTCTTGTAACATTAGCTATAATTACCTCTACTGAACAGAGGTTGGGGATGTATATAAAACATATCAAGCAATATTTCACGGTAAAAGCTTTCATTTTACACAGAATGTCTGATTTTCTGGTGAAATGTTCTACATAACTCAAAAGCTTCTACCTCACTATAGCAGCTATCACCAACCTGGCCACACTCCAAATGTAATGGACTTCAGCTTTCAAGATTCTTGGCCATGGTCATGCAGGCTACAGGATTCTGAGAATTGAAATCCACACATCTGGAGAGCTTTCTGACCAAAGAAGGCTTTATTATTTCAGCCCCATAGCCTATAGCAATGAAATATTAAACTAAAAAGCAGAACATTGGGGGGCGGGGAGTACATCATGTTAACTCAAAACTGACACACCCAGCAAAATTAGTATGGTGGCATTAAAGGTATTTTGTAAAGAAAAGACTTCCATTAAAAAAGGTTTTAAGAAGACACTTCAAGCACTGGGGTTTGTGAGATCAAAATAAAATCTGTGTTTTACAAGGTAGAAAGATCACTATATTAAAAATACATAACATATTCAGAGCAAAGCCTTGGATGATGAATAGAGGACATAAGAAGGAATGACGTTTTCTAACTCTAACTCTATTGTCTTTTTTGCTCTTTTCCATTCTCCTTAGCAACATGGATATTCTAAACGTTTATTATTGTGTATAGCAGTCACTGGGAGTCAAGACTGATGGAGAAGGGGAGGAGGAGGAGAAGGAAGAAGAAGAAGGAGGAGGAGGAGAAGGAAGAAGAAGAAGGAGGAGAAGGAGAAGAAGCAGCAGCCTGTGAATGAGCTTGTGCTCTCTAAATGCATCTGAGTTACATTCCCAGGATGTCCAGGCAATCTCTGAGACCTATGTGAATTTAGTCCCCATATATATGGAGGATGTAAAGTGTAGACACTCTGGGTCATTCTATGCAGCACCAAAATGGCATATTTTATCTATTTATTTGTATGCAGCTCTTAATAGTACAGATGATCTAATACCGTAGTGCCATTACTATTACGTCCCCCACTCCATCCCACTGTTCGATGCCATCTTTTTCTATGAAAGGATATGTACCATTACTGAAGGAACATATTAAGAATGTGCAGTGGGATAACTATGCCGATCTTTGGTAGAAGAAAAAAAGATTTTTTTTTTTAAAGTCTAAGATGTTTACTGTGATAGAAATACTTGGTGGGATGGATTCTACGCTACAAAAGTGTGTATCTTTAAAATGGCGTAAGTATTCCAAGTCCTAAAGAGCACTGAGCTGATTGGGTGCAAAAACGCTGCCTTCCCACTTCTTTTTTAATCAACTTGAATCTGCATGTGTAATGGACTGTGAGAATAACTTTGATGAAGAGGAGTAAGACAAGAGAACAGCCAAGACCATGATGAGATAAGAGAAATCTGAAGCCACAGCAGGAATGGAATTAGAGAAAACATGTCAGGCTGGCCCTCCCCTTGTTCTCTTTGGGAGAAAGGCAGGGGAGGGGAGGCACATTCAGAGTTGCAAGATTCTGTTACTGTGACCCTATAATAAAAACCGTTTTAATATTCATGACTTTGCCATTCGCGTTTGGCCTATCTCTAGAGCTGCTATTTGTATGCGCACTTCCCCTTCTTCAAGGTTATTCTCACAGTTCATTACAGCATAATAACAATAATTAAAGGGAAGATTTCTTCCGATAGCTGTGAAAAATTGGGCCCCTTGTTTCTTTTTTGGAAGCACAAAATCTAGGTGATAATTCCAAGATTGTCAGCAACAGAAGAATTCAAAGTGTTACTGACTCTCTTTCCCAAACAGATGCTACCCAGGTGTTACTTCTCTCTAAAATGGGAATCTCCGGATTTGTGGGACTTGCTGAGCATGAATTCTGGAACCTAGGGAATTGTAGCTCTACACATCTGGACAGCATTAATTTGTCAAGGCTTCTGTACACACAAAGCATGCAAATCACTGCTGCAACTATCTACTGGGGGGGGGATGTTTAATGAAGTAAGCTTAATGCTTCACTAGATTACCTGAGCGCCCAGGTTGCCTAGACATTGGCAAAGATACTTCGGTGAGAGGCAGAATATAAACTTCAGGGCCATTCTGGGTGGCTGGTGAGCCTTGAGCTGAGAATTCACTAGGATATTCCTCCCCGTCAGCATTACTGAATTCCTGGGGCAAAAAAAGATAAGGAGAATAAAAGTGTAGAATGGGGCAATAGAACAATGTTAAGAATGGGGAGAGGAAAAGGTTTGGGACATGCATTTGGTCATCTCTAGACACATAATCCTCCTCTCGATGGAAGAATTATGGCAATAAAGCATGCAAAGCAACTTTGACTCATTCAAGCAGCCTTCCCCAACCTGCGGCATTCCAGTTGTTGGTTTGCAATCCCTAAAAATCCCAGCTATTTCAATAGTAATTGGGAACTGGGGAAGTTGTATAGCAAACATCAGGAAGGATTGGACTGATAAAGGCTGCTTTGAAATATCATCCTCACTACCACCAGCAGTTATGTTTTCATACACAGATGACCTTTTATAGATATTCCACAGCAATACACAAATAAGAAAAGGACTGTAGCTCAGCGACACAGCACAAATTCTGCCATGCAAAGAACCCCCGACTCAGTGCTTGCTATCTGCAGAGGAAGCTGGGGATGACCCTTTGCCTGAAATATTGATTAAATCCCAAGCCATATGGACCAATGGGCTAACCCAATACATGGAAATTTACTCTGTTCTTAAATACACACGAAAAGGTGCAGAGAACTCATGTCCATTCTTTCACACAGGTAACCCATGTGTGAATAATCACACTGAAGGGAAAGAAAAACAATGTCACTTCACTGCCATACAGCACTAGCAGAGAAATCTGTGCACGCACCGCTGTGTTACACACTTGTGAGAAGAACTGAATCTACAGTCCTCACATGTGGTCTAGTGTAACAGCATTGTAACTGTCCTATTTTCTCCCATAATATGGTTTTCCCATCACAGACTGGGAAAAGAGCCCAATGGACAGATACACCTTAGTCCTACCACATGGATCGGGCTGCTTGAAATGGAATTGTAGAACATGTGAAGCGAAGCCGATCCCACGCACACTTTGGCCAGGCTAAGGATCACTACCGCGACCTAAAGGCTCCGTGCACTACTTCATTGCTCCCTGGGGGAGGCGGGGAGAAGGGAACCATGTGGAGAGCTGATTCACACAAAGAGTTTCCCATCTGTGCAATTCCATTTCGGATAACCACCTCCAGAGCAGGAGGAGCTAGGCAAACCATGACAGAGGCACACGAAGTATACAATCACTCTTTCCCATCCAGCTACAAACATGCCCCGTCACAATTGGGGGGTAACAGAGACAGCCGTGCACTCAGTCACTCTTTTTTCTTCTTCTTCTTTTTTTTTAAAAAAAAATCTTTCCACCCACAGATCTATGCATGTGGAGGAATGCAGTGCAGGGTTCAGGGCGAAGCCCAAGGCGGTAAGATTCAGATGTATTTCATGACAGCCAATTTTAAATTTGCTCCGAAAGAAAAAAAGATGCTCCGTGGAGACAAAGGTTTGAAAGAGAGGAGGAAAGCAAAATAAAGACAGCATTCCCTGCCCAGACTCTCTGCAGGTCCACGGGGCAAGGTCATAGCCAGGGCTATTGCTTCCGGCCCTTGACCCAACCTCACCTTTGCATGGAGAAGTAGGCAGACTTCAAGGGATCCAAATGCAGAGCAACAACCCATCTAGTAGCCTTCTCAGTGTGGTCAGCGGCGGCTGCTCTGCTCCCTCCCCCCTACCCCCCCACCCACCCAGTGAAAGACAGAGTCATAAGCACAGTTGTGGGAAGAAGCAGCCTCACCTTGGTCAGGGGGCAGGGGGAGGGCTGCCCAGGGTTCCCCAGTTCTACATTACAGGCTGTTTTGGGCACTGTGCTGGCCCCCGTGCAGGGCAGACACCTCAAAACCATCCTCAGCCTCTTCTCCCGGGATTCGCTTCTCCAGCTCTAGGCAAGAGTGCCCAGAGAAAGAGTGTTAATAGGTGCACCATCCCTTGGTGCTCTGCTCCCCTCACCTACTGCACGCGGAGTTCCAGGCACCCCCATCAACCCTGCCCCATCCCTCATCCATCCGCCCCGCCTGCCCATCCCTGCCTAAGACTTCGCCTTCTTCACTCTCATTCAGTCCTTCTGCAGAGTGAGACCAGGAGCTTCTTCTCATTACCTGGATGAACTTTTTCCTACCGAAGGTTGCCCCAGCAATCAGGTAGGAAAGGGTGAGCATTCCCGGGGAGCATCTTAAGCTTGGATACCCTTGAGCTGCTGTCTTTCTGAGGCTGTTCCAAAGAGGAGAGCGCAGAGCCCCTCTCACAAACTTGTTTTGTGCCCCTATATAGGCAGTGTGGGAGGATTCTGAAGTGGTTCATTGTTCCCACTGTGGAACCTGGCGACCTCTATAAACTGTGACTGCACAGAGCTGTCTATCACTCCACTCTGAACACTCCTCCTCCTCCTCCATGGCTGGCCAAGAGCCTCCACAAGAATGCCAGCAATGGGGGCAGCATTTTCCAGCACATTCTGTGCCTCTGAAATCACATCGCTGCCCACTTCCTTTGGGTCTTTCTAGAGCAGCCTACTACACTTGGGAGATGCTTGTCAAACTGGGAAGTACTCAAGCAACAAGTACTTGTATCTTTAAACTTAAAATAAGAATTACTTAACTTAAAAGATTTTTTTTCTGAGGACTAAAAGGCAAGTACTCAGCTAAGAAGGGACAGAGAATTACTCCTGGGTCATAACATTAGGCTCTTGTCTCTCTGCTGAGCAATATGTAACACAATATGCACCAATCCTCTAGCTCCAGATGAAGCCAGCAGAACACACAAACTCATTCTGTGACTAACAGAAGGAGGGGGAGCTTTCTTTTAAGAGCCCTTTGCCTGCAAGAGAAGCAATTGAAATAGATCACAGGCAGGAGATCCCAAAGGTGCTTTTTCCAACAGGTAACTGGACTTTTTCTTTTCCTTTGAAAATGTTGAGAAGCTAAATGTTTTCAAAGGAAAATAAAAACAAGGAAGTTCCATTGCCTTTTGGAAAACCACAACCTGGATGATTGAGAATCTCCATAAACATCACAGGCAGGAAACTTTGAGCATCATCTCTTGATGGAACTGCATCCAGTTATCACTCTCAAGAATTCCCCTTTGCTCAGGGGTGGGATATGACAGGGTTAACTACTACAGGTTCGGGATTTAGGAGCTTCCCTGCATGCAGCAAGCCGCGCGCCTGTAAATCGTCATCAGCATGCTGTGTGCAGAGACGCAGCCTTTGAAACAGCCCTCTTTTCCTGCTTTTTTAACTGCAGCTGTGCCTTGTTCGGCAGCTGAAGTTGAAAAATCAGGAAATAAAGATCAGGTAAGAGCCCGGGTGGGCAAAAACATCAGCAGACATAGAACCGGTTCTATGTCTGCTGCTCTTCAGAGCTACCGGTTCTACAGAGTGGACAGAACCGGTAGAAACCCACCCCTGCCTTTGCTATGTCAAGTCGATCTTTTAACTCTTTCCTCCTCTCTACATTTCTCTACTGATGCCTCTTCACTTTATTTTTTCCAGGACTCCCATCTGCACCTCATGATACAGTGCAACCCCAGGAAGTTGCTTTCCCTAAAAGTCTGTAAACTTTTCCTGAACCAGGCCTCCCACGCTCACTCCATAGTGGAAGAGACCTTTAAACCCACACAAGAGCAGGACTAGAAAGGTACCTGCATAACTGACCCAAACTGTTCAATGTACAATAAATAAAGTTTCTCTATAAAAACCATGTTCCTGGAAGCCAAAGCCTGGCCTAAGCCTCTATACAACATTTCAGAAAGAGTGAAAATGCATCTTGCATTCACACAACGTTTTGTGTGAAACTGGGAACTCATGTACACTTTGGTATCTTCTGCTAAGCAAGATGAAGTAGCAGATCACAGGAAGGATTTTCCTCTACCCGAAATCCATGAGGAATGCTGTTGAATCGCACCTAGATGTGCAAGAATCTGACCTGGATAAGATGGTTCCTTATGCTCCCATTCATCTGCTTCTGCCTCTGGCTTGCAAAAGTTCATTAGGCCTTTTGTATTTCTGTCACACTGCCAGACAGCCATCCCCTGTTGTGCTCAGAGGTTTGCTTCTCAGCAAGCCCCTGCCACAAGGCTTTAGTCTGATGTCCCAGTCCACACCTCCTCCGTACCCAACTGAATGCCCTCCTGCCGCAACCCCCTGCTGCTGAGATTGCTTGACTCATGCTTCTCGTGTCTGACACATAAAATGCACCACGTCATTCCTCTGACTCTTAAATTTCTGTCTGTTCTTTATATTCCAGGCCGGGCCACACTGTTTCTTCAGGACTATTCTGACAGGAACTTAATGGTAAAAGCAGGTTCCGGCTTTGTCTTCACATTGAACACTGTTTCCTTCTCCTTGCAAACAACAGGACATTTTATTGTAACCTTCCCCAGCCTGGTGGCTTTTAGATTAACTGGATGACAAACTCCAGAAATCCCAGCTATGCATCCAGAAGCCACCAGGATGGCAAAAGCTGGGTTAATGTCATGGACTTGGCCGAAGACTTTGTCTTATGCACTGCTATGCCATAGGCAGCCAGAGAGATTCGGCCCTCCCCTCTGAACTTACCTTGAAGCCAATGCCCCCTTTCTTGCAGCACAGACAGGCCAACATGAGGAAGATGAAGGTGAAGAGTCCTGAGAAGGAAACGGCCACCACCACCAGAGAGGAAGACCAGGAGAGCTCACTCAAGGGAGTGCCATCTGTAGGGAGATAAGGAAGTGGCAGAAGATGAGAAAGGAAGGTTCAGGAAAGATTGATGGGAGGAGGACCAAATATTTGCAAATCAAAGCCAGAGAGAATGCAGCTGGGACAGAGGCCGCAGGAGGCCTCTAGTCTATATCTTGCACAGCTTTAGTTCCTTTTCTTGCAGACTCAAAGCCAAGTTCAGGGATCAGATTCCCTTTTGCTGTATCCCTGCTCTCTTACACCCACTTGTCTCTAATGAATTCACTTATCCTTCGAATCTTGCCAGCAAGAAAAGGAATGGTGCTGTTCTGTTCTCCCAACTGCTCTCCTACCAGCTCCCAGAAATGGGCTAGTTTAAATCCAGAGACACAGAAGAAGCTAAGACCCAACCTGGCTTTTTCATCTATGAAGAGAATCAGGCTTGTCAACAATCTCATGATCTCCCAGCTTGGATAGGCATGGAATTTCTGCAAGACAGAAATCCTGCCCTACCATGTAGTTTTATCCATGCAGCAGTAATCATGGATACTGATGACTTAACATTCTCGGGTCACTGAGTAACCTTATCTCCCACTTCCCATAGCTCTGATGATTCCCGTCTGCACTTCCCTGATTTGTAATTGTGATGTGTATAATAGGTACAGCCTAGGTATACACAGCCTGAATACATAGTGAGTCCGATACCCATCATTTTGTCAATATGCACATTGCTAAAAAGCAACACATTCAGAAAACACAGAGGGTAAATTTCTTTCTTTCTTTCTTTCTTTTTTTGCCAGCCAACTGGCTGACTAATTGAACAATGGCTTTGAACAAAGGCCCCACTTCGGGAGGGAAAAAAAGTCATTCCCATTAAATCTCCTGAAACATGATTTTTGGGGGGAGAAAATTGCAGGTTTCCAAAGGAGGAAAAAATGGATGCACATGCTCTGTCACTATGCCCATTTCTTTTACAGAAGGACATGCATCCTAGCTTTCAAAAGACCAAAGAGGAGATGAGAAAACAGAGGAGATAAAAATTAACCTCACAGCATGGAAAAAGGGAAGGTCAGTAAGCAGCAGAAAGATTAAAGGCAGCCCAATCACAGTGTCCAGAAAGCTTTGTAAGGCAAAATAATTAATCTGGCATTTAAAGTAATTGATATAGTGCCAAGAAAATGATTGAACTGGTTGCTCCATGAGTTGATAAATAAGTCCACTGGATGTTAGGAAAACATGGGTGGGGTGTCATTATAGCATGTTTAAATGGGAGGATGAAGGATATAGTGTACATGAAAACTTTTCACAGGCTTTAGGCATAATTAGACAATATGGTTGGTGCTACAACACATGAGCAATCATAAATGTTTGTGCTCTAACTTAATTCCACATATACGGAAAAAAAATGAACCCTTCTTGTGACAGCACTACCATAGTAATGAACATCTCTTGCTGCCTTGCTTATCCTCAGTGGTGGAATTTTAACTTTTCTGCAAGAAAGCATCCTTGCTTCTGTCAGCCAAGGGAGAGGCCCAGGGGCATTAGAATAACATGCCATGGCTGGCACTCTTCCTTCCGAGGCCAGAAACTGGCAACTCATTTCCATATAGCTATTTGTAATACAGCAGATGCATTAGAAATCTGCTGCTATGGTCTCTGATAGTTCTTTGCCATAGACAGGAAAAATATAAAATTATTCCACAAAGTCAACACAAAGTTGTGTTTAAGGCGCTAATCTTGCAAAATATTTACTCTGTACACACAGAGAGAAAGAAGGGCACATGCATTTTGAACTAGAAAATATTTAAATGTCCAGGCCACAAGGAAACTGAGATTCTTCTGGCCCATTGTTTAGGTGGGGTCTCCCAGTTAGGAACTGAAAATCGCCCCTGATATTGGATGAAGGGAACAATTGCAGCAGGGTGGTTTTCCTCCCTTATCCCTAATTTATGGCCCACTGGGATAATTTAATTTTAATAGATGGCTCTAATTTAGCTCTAGCAAGTATCAAGCCCCTCTGAAGCCTTGCAGCTGCTCTTTCAAGGGAGGTCAACTCAGGGGTAAATTAATGACACAAAAGACATGCATGCTGAGTGGGAAGTGACAGCACAGCTGGAAATGTCTGAAACAGCAGGCTGTTTTTGAAGGGGACATCCCAGAAACTAGGTCCATGATTCAGAGAAGAAAGGAATACCAATTGACTAACCTAATGTAAAACTGATTGTTCTAATAGGCAGGACAAAGAGTACAAAGTCATTAGTTGAATGGAACAGAGAGAAAGAGAGTCACTTATCTCTGCCTGACCTCACTGATGATCGCTATAGTTTTACAGGCCCGGCTGTAAGAGATTGTTAGCCCTTTAAAATGGAGGAGTTAGGATTAAGGTTTAGTTATATTATATAATTATGTGGTTCACTGCATTTGGAAAACCAGCATTATCAGGAACAGCAATAACAGTATCCCACCCTTGTAGTCCCTTCCTGACAATTGTTCAGTGAGGTGTTGTACCCCAGGTTCCTCTGACTATGTAGGGAAGCAGCTCAGAACAAGAGAACATCGATACCCTTCTAATGTCTGAACAGGTAGTCCTTGTGACTCATTTTGCAGTTATAGCTCCAATGAAAAAAATAACTTTACAATCAATCCTCACATTTACAACCTTCAGAGGTTTGTAAAGCAAAGGAAAGTTGAAGATCATAATAGCAATCACTTTGTGATTGCTTCACTTAATAATTGAGCTGCCAGACCCTACTGTGGTCATTAAATAAGCAACACCTGTAGTAGAAAAAAATAAACAAAATGGAGACTGCATCCCTTTCCCACCCCATCTTTTAAATATGACAGGCCAAAGCAATTTATTTTCTTTGCCTAATCCCATCAGACCCAAATTAATCCTTCCTGCTCCAGAGAAAGCCTCCCCCCAATTCAATCTAAACCAAAGAGCCCAATCCTTACAAGGGAATTGCAACCTAGAGTACTCCCAAACCCCATCCCATCCTCAATCAGTTGAAGACCTCAACATCCCGTCTCCTTCACAATGAATTGCCTCAGCTCTGCTTCCTCTTGAAATGCCCGATTTGCCTAACAGTAGAATTCACCCCAGCTACTCCCAATCAACAAAGGACCTGCCTACCTTTCCCAAACCAACCAGTCAATTAGATCCCTATGATTTCCTACCTCAGAATCCTAAACTACTACTGTACCAAAATATTTGATCGTCCAACGTTCCGTTTGTTAAGTGTCCATTTCTTAATAAAGCCATCACCGATGGTTGCAAAAAAAAATGTTTTTTTTTTCCTCCTCAGTTATGTCTTCCTTAAGTCCACAAATTCAGCAAGAATTTCTACCGGTACTTTCCACCTTGCAGCTTTACTCATTACATCTCCCACTTGAGCTATCCTATAGCATCTGCATTAAGACCACCCTTTGCTGCCCTCCATTTCCAAATTTCTTTCCTCCCTGCTCTTTCTACCCATCTCAGTTCTTTCTGCTGAATTTGCTTAGATTAAAGCAGGGTCTCTTGAGCGATGTTCCTATCTGTATTTTAAAAAACAGATTCTTGCTTTCAGTGCTTACATCTTATGCAAGAGGCTCTTCTGCTTTGCTTTTCTTCTTTTTAAAACCAAAATGCAATTGGGAGAGGAAGGCAATTTGTTCAGTGGGAAAGGGGAATGAATTGTTTTTCTGCATATTGTTTTCTTGATTAATATTGGCCTCTACCAGATGCAATATTTTTTTCAGAAATTCAGAGTTTCAGAAATCAACATCAGCAATATCAGCAACATTTATTCAGCACAAAGGATTCAGCTGTTTCAATGAAGTGAGTAAAAAGGTCCCAGTAGACAGAAGATGGATGCTAAACAAGGAGATCCTAAAAGAAAAAGAATGTGTCAAGATGATGGAAAAAGAATTGGAGTTCTTTCTGAAGGAAAACAAAAAACAACAAACATCAATTCCAAACCTATGGGACACGACTAAAGCATATATTAGGGGCCTAGCAATTTCATATAATACATGTAGATACAAGGGGAAAAAAGGAGAACAATCTAAACTACTAGATACTCTTAAGGAGTTAGAAAAAACACTAGAAAAAACACCACATAATAAGACAGCAAATACGGAGAGGATAATGATTAGACATAAATTGAACATGTAAGCATAAGATGAATGGTTACAGGACATGAAAAAGATAAAACAGAATTACTTTGAACATGCGAATAAGCCAGGAAGGTGGCTAGCTTATAGATTTAAGAAAGAAAAAGAAAAAAGAGCAATCCAACAATTGAAGGACACTGATGGTACACTACAACATCAAACTGAAAAGAAAAAGCATATTGTTAAAAGTTTTTTTGAGGAACTGTATAGTAGGGAAGACGTACCAGAGGGAAATATCCAACATTACTTAGAAGGAAAAGGACTACCTATGATCCCGGAAGAGGATAAAGAAGAGATATACAGGGAAATAACATTAAGAGAACTGCAAGAGGCAATCCTGAAACAGAAAAACAATAAGACACTGGGACCGGATGGTCTCCCTGGGGAACTGTATAAAACGCTCCAAGGAAAATTAGAAATACAATTATTAGAACTCTATAATGAGGTACTGACGACAGCAAAATTACCTAAATCATGGGGAGAGACATATATAACATTGATCCCAAAAGAAGATTCGGACCATCAATTAATTCAAAATTACAGGCCTATATCCCTTTTAAATGTTGATTATAAAATATTTATGTCCATAATGGCAGAAAGATTGAAAAAAACCGTTAATCAGATCATTCAAAGTGACCAAAATAGATTCTTACCTAATAGACAAATTAAAAATAATACTAGAATGGTATTGAATATAATAGAATATTATGAAGCAAACCCAGGAAAACAATTGGCAATGGTCTTCTTTGATGCACAAAAGGCATTTGACAATGTTAATTGACAAGTTTATAATACAACAATTAAAAAGCATGCAATTTGGCAATAAATTTATTAAACTGATTTTGACAATTTATACGATACACACGGCCAGTGTAATAAT